GCTAAACAGCCCTAACAATACTCAAATTGACATCGCTCAATATCGGGCATCATTAATATTTCTTAATAATTAACAAAATTATACTACCGTAACACCACCCAAGAGTAAGTACATGTAGATTCAATCAAAATTGTTGAAACGTTTTCTTGGGCAGCAAATCTATTCAACAAACCTATTTTCGATCACTCGCAACTCGGGCGCCATATGTCATTGTTTCACTATGGCCACCAGAAAACATACATCCTCGTACCACCTCGTATTTCGCACTTGGCTGCCTAACTTAGACCTTTGCTAAAAAAATACTTGTATGACCAGTCCATGAAATACCACTTTTTCTTTCATTTTTTTATTTGTTGTATGAATACGACTTTAGAAGTGTATTTACACCTAGCTATAGGTATGTACATTTAAGGACATACGTGTTAGTTTATTTCCACTAGTTTCCCATTCAATCCCATTCTACTAAAGGAAAAGTTTGAAATAGATAATGATCGTAGGTCAATGAAAGTAATGGAATTATTTGTCATAAAAGGAAAAATATATTCTTGGTATTGAACTTCGAAAATTTAACAAGCAAAACCTTGAATAAAAATGGTTTATTATGTCTTTCCTTTTTTCTTAATTTTGGCCTAGCTAAACTAGATCTACAGCTTGGAGGGAAGATATACAAATTAAAATGGTGAAAAAAAACCCCACAAGAATGCATTGATTTTGCTCTTAGACAAACATTTATTTATAAAAAATATCGTTTTCATACTTAGGATACAAAACAAAGTAGAATCTAATTACTACTATGTCACTGGTCGAAGTATTTGGTAATTTAGATAATGCAAAGTGAAAAAAAGACATAAATATAACTATATAAAACATCAAAACGAAATCACATTTACACTGAAAACTTTTTGTCTTTCAGAAATTAATTATCTATATATTGTGAGTAGATCTAATTACTTTTACTGTTTATGTTATAAATTGAACCATTCGAGATTCCAATAGATGAAGCTAAAATATTAAAAATCTAGGTTGTTTAATATTGGATCCATTTTGACAGCTTTCTCATTGTACTCAACTAAATGCACATTATATTTTTGGAATATCAAGCATACAAACAGATATGAAAAGCACATGTCAACATACCAAAATTAGAAAACTGCGCCAAATATTCTAACACTGTTCGTCAAATGATATGCGGTCTCATTCACTCGTCGGTCGCCGTAGACATTTTCCAATCGTGATATACTAGATATGCTTTCTAGTTCAGTCAAAGAGAACATTGTTATTTGGAAAATGAAACCACGTGTATCCATTATACTACCACAACATTAGATCAGCTGTTTCATGTGACGTCATCAACGTCTCAACACGCGAGGTCAAATCACGCGCACCTGTCCAGACGACAAATTCACAGCGGCGGGAAATCATCGACCGTCTATTAGCCTATTTGAATAAAATTGCAGATTGTAAGGAAATAAAATTAATTTTACTCATTGCCGACATTTCCGATGACATATCAAATAAGAGTTGAAGACTTGCAATAGATTATCATACGTTAATCGAGAGTACAGTGTACATAAATAATTTGTAAATCTAATATTAATTTTTGATCTAATATCCATGGCAGAATGTTTGAAAACGAGCTATAATATATTCCATTTTCTGAAGAGATGAGTAATGTGTATTTGATGATACACAATTGGTTATCAATTATCTTCTACAATCACAGCATGTACCATGTACATTAGACTCATGGAAAATACTATCTCAGCAAACCAATCACAGCGCCATTATCACAGTTTCAATGAAAGGAAAAACAAATCGCAATTGAACTTTACAACACATCGTATCCATAAGCGGTTAATCCAAATGCAAAAAGGTATTGCTGGCATCATTGTAGAAGTTATGTTGATGTTTTCAGTAGTTGCATTATGTTTGTATCGCTTGTACCATCGTCAGAAACGGGGCCCGAGCTACCACATGTTGAACCGACCTTGACACAATTTGTTTACAATATGGCATCGACTCACGTTATATGTCGTGACCACACTTTTAAAATCTCCATTTGCCACAAAATGTGAAACAGTTAGGGCAAGTCACTCACACGGTCAGCTAGTTTGAGCAATCACACATGACTCTTAGTCATTTCATATGAAAAAAATAGCAGTTATTTGTCTGAACGGGCGAGTATGTAGGGCAACCGATAGACAAAAAAAAATCACGGCACTGCTATGATGCGAACGTGCCCTGTCGATCACTTCGGGCTTGGCCATTCAATGTTTAGGTTTTGATCATGAACCTCCTGCCCATAAATATACACTATACCAACTTAATATTAACGATTATAGCTATCTTTCCGTATCTTTGATTTGAATATTTTCTGTAAATCAGCATTATAAACAAAAAGACAATCTGCACTGTCGGTTTGTATGTAGCGCCGTGCTAAATCGCAATGACACACAGTCGATAAACATATGCCATACTTGAACAAAAAACTTCCCTGGCCGACTAAACTTTAGTTCTCTTACGCCAATAACTGTACATTGGGGACTAGTGAATCTTTCTGACCAGTCCGATCAGATTTCTTTTTCAAATTGGCTGTCTGATATAATAATAGTTACGTGTATGTGACAACGGTGCATAATAAAAAATTGCCTTCATTCGCATGAAGTTCAACATGGCAGAAAAAGATCGAGAAGCGCGGTAACCACATTACTAATCTCGCCATATTTTGCAATCCGTAGCACTGCATAAAATATGAGTTACACGATATTAACGTTGAGATTATTAGGGTGATGATGGTTATAAATTCATTCAATGAACGGCATAAATGTAATGGGAATATACACTGTCGTTTTCTCATGCGTACCGACCATTCCGCCATTATCGATAGTCGATAAAAATATACAAAACGTGTAAATAAACTTGTTCATTAAGGAGTGAACAGAATTGTATTTACGTGAATAAGTATACAGTTGGGAAAAATATGTCTTTCTGACCACTCAGGTCATATTTTTTCTTATGAACAAGGATTTTGTCTGAAAATATTTACGTGTATGTGACAATGGTGCATAATCAAAATTCGCCGTCATTCGCTTGGTGTTCAAACATGGCAGAAAAAGGCCGAGAAGAGCGGTGGCCACTTAACTAATCTCGCCATATTTCGCAATCCGTAGCATTGTATAAAGTATGAGTTACACGATGTTAAAGCTAAGATGATTGGGGTGATGATGGTTATAGTTTTGACTTTGCGCACTCAGTGTTAAATATCAAAATTCACAGTTTAAAAAGGGCATTTTCTCGGGACCATATATGGTCCCCTGGCACTATGCGGGTGTGAAAAGTGAGGGACCATATATGGTCCCGTGGCACCAAGAGGGTTAAGTCATTTAAGCCTTGGTTTCAGGGACCATGTTTTCATGATGTTAGTTACTGACAGGGTTGATGAAAATGTACCTGAAGCACAGGTGGGGTCTCCTCATACAGAGCCGTGTTGTATACTACAAGGGTTGAATGATAAATCCTTGCCAAACTGCATGTAGTTAAGGTAGTAGGACTAGTAGAAATTGGCCATTTTTAAGGGTTTTGCTATTTGTTATCATTATAAGGACTAGTGGACTAAAAATGTTAGTTTCTACCGCTGCAAGGGTTGACTGATAAGGCCTTAGCTTGTAGCATACTACAGAATTACTGATAAGGCCTGACTGAGCCTGTAGCATACTACGAGAGACTAATAAGCCCGAGTCTGTAGCATGGGGCAAGGGTTGACTGATAAGGTCTGAGCCTGTAGGATACAAGGGTTGACTGATAAGTCCTGAGCCTGTAGGATACAAGGGTTGACTGATAAGTCCTGAGCCTGTAGGATACAAGGGTTGACTGATAACTCCTGAGCCTGTAGGATACAAGGGTTGACTGATAAGGCCTGAGCCTGTAGGATACAAGGGTCGACTGATAAGTCCTGAGCCTGTAGGATACAAGGGTTGACTGATAAGGCCTGAGCCTGTAGCAAACTTGAGGAACGACAGGGAGAGCCTTCAAGACAACCCATGTCCTGGAAGACCTGTGATGTTGACAACACCAGAAATAATCCATGGAATTTACAATATCTTGATGACTGATTGGCGAATTACTGAACGTCATATTGCTTGTTTGGTATGCATTTCCACGAGAGCACATTCCAATTTTACAGAAACTGTGGCATTGAAGAGGACATAAGCTTGTTGGGTTCCATAGCTCCTAACATCTGATCATCAAAAAATGCACCAGGAACAAGATGTTTCGTCATAATCTAGATCTGTTTTGAGTACAAACAACAATCAAAACAATGGAAGCATTTGACATCACCAGCACCAAAGAAGGCAGAGACTGTTTCATCAGCTGGCAGTGTTCTGGGATGCTGAGGTGTCATCATGATGGAGTATCTTCCATAAGGCCAAACAATAAATGGAGCATATTATGCTGCACTTTTGAGGCAATTATGGGAGGGTATTAAGACTATGAGATGTGGGAAGCTGTGAAATGTGTGCTCTTCAAACAGGACAATGCGCCAGTGCACTATTGTCATATCAATAGTTACAATTGATGAGTATGTCTTTGAAGTCCTTCAGCACCCACCTTATCCTCACATTTCCATCTGTTTGCAAACATTGAAAAGCTCTAGCCGGAGCCCATTTCCACCCCAAAAAATGACATCAGCGGCTGTGGAGAATTTTTTGGACAGCCAAGAAAAGGGCCTCTAAGAAACTGGGATAAAATCCTTTCAACATTGTTGGCAAAATTTCATCAATGTGGAAGGGCATGTTGTTAAAAACAACAAAACTTTTTTTACTTGTTTGTAGGTCAAGTCTTTCTATGTGAGGCTCAGAACATTTTAATCACCCCTTGATACTTGAAGAATTGATCAGATATTTTGAATCACACATTCATGTTTTGTGGATCTAACTGATTTTCTGTATATAATATATGGATATATATGTACTTTAATGTTTCTTTTCTTTTCTTTTCAGGCAAAGGGGAATCTATCAGATAGTGAGTTGGATTTAACTGGCCAAAGTAGCCTGGTAGTTACCCTGGTAGTATCACAACTAGTTTTGCATGGTTTTACGATGCACAAATATGTGTCCAGTATACACAAATGTAGAGAATGGACTCAGAAATTGAATATAATTTGTCCCAAGGGAAACACAATAATATTCACAGTACCAACATGTACAGGGCATCAAGAACGGTCATGGTGTCTGTTATAACAGCCGTTGATCATGACCACTGTCCACATGGTCACTGTAATCCAGGCTCGAATGTAATTGATTATCAAAATGTATAGTACACTTCACCATTTCATTACTTTACAGGACCCTCATATTGCCTGCAAGGACCCTTTAGAATTAATTATTGGGGGTCCCCTTTTTGTAGGTCTAGGTAAAGCCTTGGATTTGTTTTTTTAATTTTATTGTTCACCATGAGGTTACTTATGTTTTGCCAAACAATTAATTATAGGAGGTCAAAATTAGCTGATTTTCAAATACATCGTTTGAAGCATGGGATGTTTGATATATTTACAGCAGGTACAGTGATCTTGTTAGCAGCAAATGGCAACAGGACATTGTCATGATTTTATCAACTATTGGTCGGATATTCTTTTTCATCATCAAATTTTGAAAACATCTCTCACAATGTCAGTGTCCCATAAATGAACCCTGAAACCCTGATTTGCATCAGAATGTAAGACAGTACATGTATTTACTTCTGTCAAACGCTGTGGAGATCCCAGGTTTGAGTAGACCCCTTGGAGCCTATGCTGGTTGTAAGAGGTGACTGAATGGAACAGGTTACACACAATACCAATCACTGGATTGTCTTGTCAAGGCCTGATTATTAACATCAGCCATCATTCAGCTGCAATATTGCCGAGTGCTGTGCTAAACCAAAACTTCTGCCAGATAAGACTTGTGAGTATGTAAGGTGTTTAGTTATGGCCAGAGAAGGCTTATTCTCTTCATTGGGTGAGGTGTTTGTCTGTGGCCAGAGAAGGTTTGTTCTCTTCATTAGGTGAGGTGTTCGTCTGTGGCCAGAGAAGGCTTGTTCTCTTCATTAGGTGAGGTGTTTAGCTGTGGCCAGAGAAGGCTTGTTCTCTACATTAGGTGAGGTGTTTAGTTATGGCCAGAGAAGGCTTGATCTCTTCATTAGGTGAGGTGTTTGTCTGTGGCCAGAGAAGGCTTGTTCTCTTCATTAGGTGAGGTGTTTAGCTGTTTGCCAGAGAAGGCTTGTTCTCTTCATTAGGTGAGGTGTTTGTCTGTGGCCAGAGAAGGCTTGTTCTCTTCATTAGGTGAGGTGTTTGTCTGTGGCCAGAGAAGGTTTGTTCTCTTCATTAGGTGAGGTGTTTAGCTGTGGCCAGAGAAGGCTTGTTCTCTTCATTAGGTGAGGTGTTTAGCTGTGGCCAGAGAAGGCTTGTTCTCTTCATTAGGTGAGGTGTTTGTCTGTGGCCAGAGAAGGTTTGTTCTCTTCATTAGGTGAGGTGTTTGTCTGTGGCCAGAGAAGGTTTGTTCTCTTCGATAGGTGAGGTGTTTGTCTGTGGCCAGAGAAGGTTTGTTCTCTTCATTAGGTAAGGTGTTTGTCTGTGGCCAGAGAAGGCTTGATCTCTTCATTATGTGAGGTGTTTGTCTGTGGCCAGAGAAGGCTTGTTCTCTTCATTAGGTGAGGTGTTTAGCTGTGGCCAGAGAAGGCTTGTTCTCTACATTAGGTGAGGTGTTTGTCTGTGGCCAGAGAAGGCTTGATCTCTTCATTAGGTGAGGTGTTTGTCTGTGGCCAGAGAAGGTTTGTTCTCTTCATTAGGTGAGGTGTTTAGCTGTGGCCAGAGAAGGTTTGTTCTCTTCATTAGGTGAGGTGTTTGTCTGTGGCCAGAGAAGGCTTGATCTCTTCATTAGGTGAGGTGTTTAGCTGTGGCCAGAGAAGGTTTGTTCTCTTCATTAGGTGAGGTGTTTAGCTGTGGCCAGAGAAGGTTTGTTCTCTTCATTAGGTGAGGTGTTTGTCTGTGGCCAGAGAAGGCTTGATCTCTTCATTAGGTGAGGTGTTTAGCTGTGGCCAGAGAAGGTTTGTTCTCTTCATTAGGTGAGGTGTTTGGCTGTGGCCAGAGAAGGCTTGATCTCTTCATTAGGTGAGGTGTTTAGCTGTTTGCCAGAGAAGGCTTGATCTCTTCATTAGGTGGGGTGTTTGTCTGTGGCCAGAGAAGGTTTGTTCTCTTCATTAGGTGAGGTGTTTAGCTGTGGCCAGAGAAGGCTTGTTCTCTACATTAGGTGAGGTGTTTGTCTGTGGCCAGAGAAGGCTTGTTCTCTTCATTAGGTGAGGTGTTTGTCTGGCCAGAGAAGGCTTGATCTCTTCATTAGGTGAGGTGTTTAGCTGTGGCCAGAGAAGGTTTGTTCTCTTCATTATGTGAGGTGTTTGTCTGTGGCCAGAGAAGGCTTGATCTCTTCATTAGGTGAGGTGTTTGTCTGTGGCCAGAGAAGGCTTGTTCTCTTCATTACGTGAGGTGTTTAGCTGTGGCCAGAGAAAGTTTGTTCTCTTCATTAGGTGAGGTGTTTAGCTGTGGCCAGAGAAGGCTTGATCTCTTCATTAGGTGAGGTGTTTAGCTGTGGCCAGAGAAGGTTTGTTCTCTTCATTAGGTGAGGTGTTTAGCTGTTTGCCAGAGAAGGCTTGATCTCTTCATTATGTGAGGTGTTTAGCTGTGGCCAGAGAAGGCTTGATCTCTTCATTAGGTGAGGTGTTTGTCTGTGGCCAGAGAAGGCTTGATCTCTTCATTAGGTGAGGTGTTTGTCTGTGGCCAGAGAAGGTTTGTTCTCTTCATTAGGTGAGGTGTTTAGCTGTTTGCCAGAGAAGGCTTGTTCTCTTCATTAGGTGAGGTGTTTAGCTGTGGCCAGAGAAGGCTTGTTCTCTTCATTAGGTGAGGTGTTTAGCTGAAGTCAGAGAAGGCTTGTTCTGAGATACAATGTTAATCAAGGATGTGATTATGAATAGTGCCAGGTAATGGAGGTGAGTGACCTGATCACAGATGTTTTGTGTCCAGGTAAGAGTTTGCCGGTGGTTGATATTGGTTTATCTCGACATGGAGATGGATGAAGCCGGGCCAATTGGTCTGTCTGTCCTGCCCCACCTTTAGTGGGGTAAATGGTTCCGGCATGTGAGGAGAAGCACAGGGAGATAGAACAGCTTGCTTGTTTGTACTTCATGCACCACATGCACATTGATGAAATGCCTTTTTTCAGGAGCAGATACATCAGATTCACTAGATGGAGACAAACATGATTGTATTGGTAAGTGTTGATGGATTAGTTTTGATATAGATCAGTAGTGATGTTTCAGGCTGTCATTCATATTCCACCTGTCAAAATAAAAATGTTGGTTGAAGGATATAGGTTTTCTGGATATAGAAAATGATAAATAAATGATATGGAACAAATATTCTACATGTTATCTTCTGATGCACTGTGGTGCCCATCTTATTGGTGGGAAATAGATAAATACTCTAAGGTCTTGTTTCAGATGGGGAGGAAGAATCAGTTGAGTTCAGAAAGAGTCTCAGGAAAAGGAAAACACAAGGTATTCACTTCCTGTACGATAGCAGTAGTTACCTGCAACAGTGATGACTGTGATAGTTGTAGATCTATAGCAAGGTGCTGGCTCATGGGAAATCAGGAAGGATAGTTCCCTTGTTTCCCACATAGAAATGGGAAAGTGTGTAACCATGATGATTGTATGTCATGGAGTAGATTGTTGTTCATCTGTATGAGAGTGAGACATACTGTCTGTCAGCTGGGTTGTGCTGCAGTTGATCTGTATGAGAGTGAGACATGCTGTCTGTCAGTTGGGTTGTGCTGCAGTTGATCTGTATGAGAGTGAGACATGCTGTCTGTCAGTTGGGTTGTGCTGCAGATGATCTGTATGAGAGTGAGACATACTGTCCGGCAGCTGGGTTGTGCTGCAGTTGATCTGTATGAGAGTGAGACATGCTGTCTGTCAGTTGGGTTGTGCTGCAGTTGATCTGTTTGAGAGTGAGACATACTGTCCGGCAGCTGGGTTGTGCTGCAGTTGATCTGTATGAGAGTGAGACATGCTGTCTGTCAGCTGGGTTGTGCTGCAGTTGATCTGTATGAGAGTGAGACATGCTGTCTGTCAGTTGGGTTGTGCTGCAGTTGATCTGTATGAGAGTAAGACATGCTGTCTGTCAGTTGGGTTGTGCTGCAGATGATCTGCATGAGAGTGAGACATACTGCATGGAGTAGATTGTTGTTCATCTGTATGAGAGTAAGACATGCTGTCTGTCAGTTGGGTTGTGCTGCAGTTGATCTGTATGAGAGTGAGACATGCTGTCTGTCAGCTGGGTTGTGCTGCAGTTGATCTGTATGAGAGTAAGACATGCTGTCTGTCAGTTGGGTTGTGCTGCAGATGATCTGCATGAGAGTGAGACATACTGCATGTAGTAGATTGTTGTTCATCTGTATGAGAGTGAGACATGCTGTCTGTCAGTTGGGTTGTGCTGCAGATGATCTGTATGAGAGTGAGACATACTGTCCGGCAGCTGGGTTGTGCTGCAGTTGATCTGTATGAGAGTGAGACATGCTGTCTGTCAGTTGGGTTGTGCTGCAGATGATCTGCATGAGAGTGAGACATACTGCATGGAGTAGATTGTTGTTCATCTGTATGAGAGTAAGACATGCTGTCTGTCAGTTGGGTTGTGCTGCAGTTGATCTGTATGAGAGTGAGACATGCTGTCTGTCAGCTGGGTTGTGCTGCAGTTGATCTGTATGAGAGTAAGACATGCTGTCTGTCAGTTGGGTTGTGCTGCAGATGATCTGCATGAGAGTGAGACATACTGCATGTAGTAGATTGTTGTTCATCTGTATGAGAGTGAGACATGCTGTCTGTCAGTTGGGTTGTGCTGCAGATGATCTGCATGAGAGTGAGACATGCTGTCTGTCAGTTGGGTTGTGCTGCAGATGATCTGCATGAGAGTGAGACATGCTGTCTGTCAGTTGGGTTGTGCTGCAGATGATCTGCATGAGAGTGAGACATACTGCATGTAGTAGATTGTTGTTCATCTGTATGAGAGTGAGACATGCTGTCTGTCAGTTTGGTCGTGCTGCAGATGATCTGCATGAGAGTGAGACATACTGCATGGAGTAGATTGTTGTTCATCTGTATGAGAGTAAGACATGCTGTCTGTCAGTTGGGTTGTGCTGCAGATGATCTGCATGAGAGTGAGACATACTGCATGTAGTAGATTGTTGTTCATCTGTATGAGAGTGAGACATGCTGTCTGTCAGTTTGGTCGTGCTGCAGATGATCTGCATGAGAGTGAGACATACTGCATGGAGTAGATTGTTGTTCATCTGTATGAGAGTAAGACATGCTGTCTGTCAGTTGGGTTGTGCTGCAGTTGATCTGTATGAGAGTGAGACATGCTGTCTGTCAGTTGGGTTGTGCTGCAGATGATCTGTATGAGAGTGAGACATACTGTCCGGCAGTTGGGTTGTGCTGCAGTTGATCTGTATGAGAGTGAGACATACTCTTCGGCAGTTGGGTTGTGCTGCAGTTGATCTGTATGAGAGTGAGACATACTGTCCGGCAGTTGGGTTGTGCTGCAGTTGATCTGTATGAGAGTAAGACATGCTGTCTGTCAGTTGGGTTGTGCTGCAGATGATCTGTATGAGAGTGAGACATACTCTTCGGCAGTTGGGTTGTGCTATGTGTAGCAGCCATAAAATTTCCGAGTCCCATGATTGGATTCGAACCACAGACCTTCTGACCTAGGTCGGACACCTTGTCCACATGACCAAAGAGGTTATCCCTGTCAGCAAGCTGTCAAGATAAGAATGTCATCTGTGACTCCACGCCCTGCTACATATGCATCATCTGTATGAGAGTGAGACATACTGTCTGTCAGTTGGGTTGTGCTATTCTTCATCTGTATGAGAGTGAGACATACTGTCTGTTAGGGATGCAACGATACAGGAAGGTCACGATACTATACGTATCTCGATATTCAGGTCACGATACGATACGTATCTTGATACGCGATGATAAAAAAACAAGACTTAAAGCATGTCAAGATTGAACCTTTCATGATTTTGAAACAGTCAAAATTATTTTATAATAAATTTAATAACAAGACAACTGAAGTTGTTCACTTTCTCTAACTTTCCTTAAAAACAATTCAAAGTTCAAACACCAGAAAATAATTAATGTGCTCCACCAGTGATACAACGTCAAAGAATTTTGATGCAATGGTCGAAGAAATTGTATCTGAAATTATTGTTTTATCAGGAATAATATATTCCAATATCGTGTTACCTTAGTTGCAGCTTTTACTATATTATGTATTTAAAATTATAAGAACCACACGTGTAGCATTTTGGTTCTGGTGATTGCTGTTGCAGGATATTTTTACGCATGGAACAATTTGACCAGTCACCCTAGGGACAGGGACACCCCGTGCTACATGTATTTCGATTGTGAAAACGTTATGTTGACATATATTAGCCAAATTGCCATAAATATGACTTTTAATGAGTCAAAGTATGGCATTTTTAATACATGTATCCATTCTCTAGCAACTAAAGTTCGCTTCAATGCGTCAAAAGCGGTAATCTGACTGTGGTTGCTGTATCTCTTCACACACGATTTCACATAACTTAATGTAAACAATATAAAATGAAATTTTGAAAAAAACTATTAAAATATATTACAAACACAAGTCCAGGTATACAATGAACACGTTTTAATAACAAGATAGTAATATAATGGGATCAGCTGATAATGTTTTTTGAGATGGGGAAAAACCTGAACTTATTAAAAATGTAAGTACGTTTTTGGGAGCCATGCGTTATCGCGCGCTATAACCAAGTTAGCGGTTTATTGAAAGGCACAATAGCGAGGAAACGCTGTACTTGAGATTTGCGTTCCGTATCGTGGCGTATCGATAAATGGGCCTACGTTTATCGTATATCGTATCGTGGGTCCAGTATCGCGATGCATCGGAATATCGTTTCACCCTTACTGTATGTCAGTTGGGTTGTGCTATTCTTCATCTGTATGAGAGTGAGACATACTGTCTGTCATTTGGGTAGTGCTATTCTTCATCTGTATGAGAGTGAAACATACTCTGCATCACTTGGCTTTTTTATTCCCGTGTATTACCCATGGGAAACTGGTCTACAGTTAAGTTAACTATGTTTGTCTTGAAGGGCGGCATAAATAGATCACGTTGTCACTTGGAGAACTGTCTGCTCATATTGAATTCTGTCATTACTCATACCAATCACTGGTGTACCTTGTCCAGACACCATTTCAAAGTCTTTGCTGTTGCTATGTTACAGAGGATACAGAGCAGTGTGAAGCCACGACCACAACGATACCGGCAGAGGCTGCTGACTCAGGTGACACTGCCAACTCCTTGTCAGGTTCGTCAGAGCCTGATGCTATACCCTTATAATGACTGCTGTGGTTTAGGGCCAAATGAAATATTTTCAATGCAAGTGTTACATCATGTATATATATATATATATTTATATGTCTATTTATTAAGTTAGAGATAAGACCTTATGGAGAAGCCTTTGACTTAAGCCCGTGACTTGAGCATGCAAGAACCGTTTTTCCAACCTTGCTCAGCACTGGTTATATGATGAGTTACTGACATAGAAATACTGCAATGTTTGTTGCAGGTAAGAAGAGGAAGACAGAGGAGGGTGTGGAATGTCCAATCACACCCGTCGTCACCATTGTGTCTGAACATCAGCCAACCCCTGTTGGCCTCAAGTCTTTATTACCAAGGAGTGTGACCATCCCCACTAGTCATCCCAACACAGATACACCCACCCCTGGCTTTGGGAAAAGTGCCAAATACATGTCCTCACCATTGGCGCTTCTGTCCAGCCAGTTGGCAGCTAGTAGGAGTGTCAACACTGTGCCCAAACCATGTGGCCCTAAAAACTCTGAAGCATTACGTGCCCTGCTAGTGTCTGGGTCCCCCTCCTATCTCCCACCTCGAGGTCCTGCAAGCATCACTGCAATGCCAGTGTTAGGCCAGGTAAAGCGGGAGGGCAATGCTGACTGCTTTAATGGCGAGAAGATTGTGGCTCCACATGGCCGAGAGACCAAGGTTGCATCAACTCCCAATGGTCTTTGTTACCCTGTGACCCCACCTAAAACTCCAGAAGACGGAACTGCATGTGATAACTCATCCCGCCCACCATCTTGTCCTGTAAGTTACTTGTTGATGATAATGATTTCATCCATACAGTTGTAATATCTATTTTGCATGCTGTCAGATTTTCCAAGCATTTCTTCTTTCCTTCTGGTGAAACGTTCAGTCAGTACTTGTACATAATGTCATGTTAATTGCTCTCACAGACCCCCAAACCACCTGCATACACTTATGTAAGTATTATGCTCATATTGTCACACCTGGCCTTTGTCTTATTCTCACAGCTGCTGTAGGATTTATAAAACAATCCAAATTGTATGATGCCATGAATTTCATGATTTTTGTGCAAATTACAAATTTCTAAATAATACCTTTGAATTTCCTCGCTTTTTGATCTTGGAAGGTTTTCCATGACTCTTTTGGGTCAGTTACCTGAAAATAGTAGTTCTGTGGTAATTGGTCTGAAGACATGACTTCTTAGTTCCAGTAGTATGTTACAGGGTGACATGTGTGACAGTTGCGTGCCCTAATGTTGTTAGTCCAATATTGAAGAGATGCACAGTGATGACGGTGGAATGCATGATACTCTGTACCCCCTTCCTGTGTCCCTATCCCCACCCACAGTGATGACAGTGGAATGCATGATATATGGTACCCCTTCCTGTGTCCCTATCCCCTCCCACAGTGATGACAGTGGAATGCATGATATATTGTACCCCTTCCTGTGTCCCTATCCCCTCCCACAGTGATGACAGTGGAATGCATGATATATTGTACCCCTTCCTGTGTCCCTATCCCCTCCCACAGTGATGACAGTGGAATGCATGATATATTGTACCCCTTCCTGTGTCCCTATCCCCTCCCACAGTGATGACAGTGGAATGCATGATATATTGTACCCCTTCCTGTGTCCCTATCCCCTCCCACAGTGATGACAGTGGAATGCATGATATATTGTACCCCCTTCCTGTGTCCCTATCCCCTCCCACAGTGATGACAGTGGAATGCATTATATATTGTTCTTTTGAAAGTTTACAATAATTGTTTTGTTGAAATGGAGTGTGTAGACATATTCAATAATTATTGTACATCTGAAAAGCTTTGCGAGCAGAAAAGTACTTCCAAAACTGCAACCAACACACTTGCAATAGTTTCAAGACGCAGTTATTTTTGCAAACCAACCACAAAGAAAAAAGGAGGCAAAAAAGAAATAAGGAGGCATATTTCTTAAATTTGCTTCCACATGCTATGAAATCAGCCAGTACGTGATTAAATAAATACTCCTTCACATCACATGTTTCCCTAATTGCACACTGTAACTTAGTGCAATAGTCTAATTTCACTAACCTGCCACATCTTGTCAAGTTGTTGACATAACACTGAGTAATTCAGGCATGCACCAGCCAGTCTATTCTGTAAACGCGCTACTCCAAGAACACATGCATCTATAGCTTACAACTCACTGACTGACACTGAGTTACTAGTTCATCATGCCGACCCCTACGTATCAAATGTAACACCTGCAAAAGTAGCTTTGATCTTTGGTTATCTTCAACAGGGTGTTGTAAAACTTTCCAGACGCAGGTAAAGCTATTGTTAGATGCTCGCAGCAATTTCATTGCGCAAAGCTTTCCAGATTTGCAGTATCTGGACCCATTTGCTACCATAGCTGCAAATGGGATTTCACCTTATCACCCTCTTTGAAAGACATTTCTCTTGATTTGTGGAGTATCTTTCATAGGATGTCTATTTGTAGCCCACATGACTAAAGTCAAGTGAGATTATGTCATGGACTGTTTGTCTGGCGTCCAGGTCGGTCACTCAATGCAAACATCTTTTGCTCAGAAATCAATGGACACTTGAAGTTAAACTTTCAAATGTTTGTTCCCACGAATGATGCCACCCTGATGTGTTCAAGAGGTTCAAGTCATTACTTGAGGCTGCCATTACTCAGCCATTGTTTTCCAAAGTGAAACGGGTGGTTGGTTGTAGGGCTCAACATAAATGTTTCCATTTTCACAGATATTTTAGATTTGACCTTTTTTTCTACCTTGCTCTTAAATTCTGTGGAAGACATATTGGCTCTGTTAACTTCTTCTCTGCTGAAATTGATGACAGGGAGCTAGATTTTGGCATGTATGTTTTCCTTACGATGGCATCATATTTTGTTCAAATCTTAGACTTTGGTATTTGTTTTTACTCTTCCGTTATTATGCAGAAAATATAGGCATATCAATGCTGACATATTCAAGTGAGCTACAGTGTCACTATTTTTAGTATAGTGGCATAGGATAGATCAATTGTATTTACCGTATTCGACGTAATAAGCGCCCCGCTCTAATAAGCGCCCACAGCGATATTTGCTAATATATTGGCTAGTGAACAATCCCAATTAGCACCCCTACCGATTGATCAATGTACACAAGACCTATTTTGTCGTGTATAATACGCACTCGTGTGTAATATGCACCCTCAATTATGGGCAATTAAATTCTGGAAACATATATCTGTCGTATATAAACATTTCAGGCTGTCAGCATACACCACGAAATTTATCTTTCAACTCTGTTTTTTTCACCAAAATAATATTCTAATAAGAGCCCCCCTATTTCTAATTTTGAGAGCGCCCTGGGCGCTTATTATGTCGAATACGGTATGTAGAAATGTGATATAAAAGTATTAAAACACTGGATAATCGAGGATGAATTTTGACCACTGGAACAGGAACATCCCAAGCCAGGATGTACCTTAGAGGATAGTCGAAGTGTAGCATTTTTGTGTACAAGTTTAGCTTAATGAAATATGAGTGTAGTGACCCATCAGTCTATTGCAGTTGTTTGCATTACGATAGTACTAAATCGATAGGCGTTTCTCAAAGAAAAGAAATAGTCAATCCTTAAATGTAGATGTTGGCTGCAGACGGGCTTTGAACAGGAATGTGTTGGTGTTGTTTTCAGACCTCGGCCATGGGTATATCCCCAGACAAGGACATCATCCCTTTGTGCTGCTGTAAGATCAATGGTGCTTCTTTCAACAAACTGACATCAGGTGTGACCTACTGTCAGGCTCTGGACTCTGTGGATGGCAAGGTGAGCAGACTCTATATTCATGGCAGTATCACATACAGGTTAGGAACTCAACAGACAGTCATTTATCAGTCTGTGAATGTCTGTGTGTTGGTGCATTTAGTCTGTAGTATGCATAATGTTTTGCAGGTTTGTTTGTTGTTTAACGCCTTGCTCAGCAATATTCTAGCTATATGATGGCTGTCTGTAATAAATGAGTGTGGGCTATACAATCTTGTGATTAATATCATGAGCATCGATCAACACAATTGGGGTACGATGACATGCATCAACGAAGTCAGCGAGCCTGGCCATTCGATCCCATTAGTGGCCGCCAATGTCAAGCATGGATTGCTGAAGACCTATTCTAACCCAGATCTTTACGGGTTTGTTTTGCAGGTAATGGGTTGCTGCAACAAGGTGAGCAACAATCAACTTGTGCGGCCTGCAGTCAAGATCCCTTTCATGGCAGTATGCGAGGCCCATCGCAAGCGGCTTAAGTTGCATCAGTGCTGCCCAGGCTGTGGACATTTCTGCACACAGGTATGTTGATTGGAAGGTGTACATCTAACTTAACATTTTACTGGTCATAAAACTGTTAACTTCAATTTCAACCTTGAATCTGATGTCAGGTTGAAGAAACTGTAATATGTGACATGACATTTGACATGTGTGCCCATTGTTTCAGGGCAAGTTTTACCAGTGTCGGAAGGAGGGTGGTACATCGGTGCACAGTTTTCACAAGCTGTGCCAGGTGTTGAAGGATGGCAAGTACTACTGCCCTCATTGTGGGGAAGAGTCCGCCCAAATGGAAATCTGTTTGGGCTACAGTGATGCCCCACAGCCCATGGCCATTCCAGAAAACAAGAGCTCTTCCAGGAGGGCAGTGTGAGTACAGCACAAACCTTCACAGTCACACCAGTGAGGGGGGTGCAGTGGGGAGAGAAGTTGTCCGCTGGTCAGTCACACGAGTGAGGGGAGAGAAGTTGTCTGCTGGTCAGTCACACGAGTGAGGGGAGGGAAGTTGTCTGCTGGTCAGTCACACGAGTGAGGGGAGGGAAGTTGTCCGCTGGTCAGTCACACGAATGAGGGGAGGAAAGTTGTCCGCTGGTCAGGCTTGTAGCATAACTGCATGCATACAGTTATATGCTATTGGTTAATTTCAAGTGATCTTTTATTGTTTGCAGATACAAGACAAAGCCAACATTTGTGTATCCTCAACTTAAGGGGAAGGAGAATGAGGACACAGACATAGTGCCGCCTGTGACACACACTCTTCCATCAGCAAAGACCTTATCTTCAGGTAGGTCCGACGTACACAAAGACCTATTTTTTAACTTGTCCTGCATTACTCCTTAATGCATTCACTGCTTACTTTTGACAGAAATGAATCTGTGATTGGTCCAGTTGATGAAAAGAAAAAAGATTTCCATTCCAGAAGCATTCACAACTTCACCCCCCATTCATCAGCTGCCACGTCATACTGGAAGGGCTGACGTCAAGGAACTTTCATATCGCTGTTGGTCACCAAACAGATAACATATGCTGCTAAATTGGTCCCCAGTAATTTGATGTTATTTCTGTTCCTGTTTTCGGGCAGTTGTCTCGACAATGGCTCTTCGCAGTTGAATAAGAGTGCCATCATGGAAGGAAGTTATTTTAAGGTTAGACTGATCTTTGCCAGCCACTACATTAGGGACGTGGCTTTAGAAGACGTTGAGGGCTTTTGCGGTTTGGGACTGCTGGTTGTAGCCCAGCAGGTGACCACACTGCAACGCCAAAAAAACATGTCAGAGCCAGCCTTACCTGACTCACAGTTTTTCAAAACTCGCTTCTTAGGGGATTCTTTTCCTGGCTTTACACAGTCATGGCTTGGTAATCCAGGTTTTAGACCTTAGGGAATGGTATTGTCTCTTACTGTTTGTTTACCCGGACATACTCTTGTTACTTTTCCGCGGACCGGATTGGATGATCAGTTACTGATCTGTGCAGAAGAATTGTGCCTTACGGCTGACAAGACTGCCTGTCGTGAGATTGTTTACTGAGTACACATCTGAAAGCATCCCCACCTCCATTTAGTCGGATACAGATGCATTAAGGAGTAATGCAGGATATGATAGATATTTCTTTTATTTGTATACTTATGCTGCATTACAACGTCTAAGGAAGGGCCTACCAGTTGCAGGACCCGTGAAGATCCGGGGTAGAATAGGTCTTCAGCAACCCATGCTTGCCATAAGAAGTGACTATGCTTGTCGTAAGAGGCGACTAACAGGATCGGGTGGTCAGGCTCACTGACTTAGTTGATGCATGTCATTGTATCTGAATTGCATGGATCATGATGTCATTCACTGGATTGTCTGGTCCAGACTCGATTATTTACAGACCGCCATCATATAGATGGAATATTGCTGAGTGTGGCGTTAAACAACAAACAAACAAACACTGTATGAGAGTGAGACATACTGTCCAGCATTTGGGTTGTGCTACAGATTTTCTGTATGAGAGTGAGACATAAACAACAAACTAAGCAACAAAATAACAATCACAGACCTGCCTCCCCTCGATAACTGCAGACAATTTATGTGTGACCCACAGTAATATGAAAGTTCCATGACGTCACCACTTCCTATATGTTGTGGCAACTGATGATTGGGGGGGTCCTTCTTTTGGAATGGAACAACCTTTTTCTTCTGGACCAATCACAGTTTTATGTCTACATTAGGCTAACCTGGGTATTATGTGTACATGAGGCTAACCTGCGTATTATGTCTACGTGAGGCTAACCTGCGTATTATGTCTACATTAGGCTAACCTGGGTATTATGTCTACATTAGGCTAACCTGGGTATTATGTCTACATTAGGCTAACCAGTTTATTATGTGTACATGAGGCTAACCTGGGTATTATGTCTACATTAGGCTAACCTGGGTATTATGTCTACATTAGGCTAACCAGTTTATTATGTGTACATGAGGCTAACCTGGGTATTATGTCTACATTAGGCTAACCTGGGTATTATGTCTACACTAGGCTAACCTGCGTATTATGTCTACATTAGGCTAACCTGGGTATTATGTCTACATTAGGCTAACCTGGGTATTATGTGTTCATGTGGCTAACCTGGGTATTATGTCTACATTAGGCTAACCTGGGTATTATGTCTACATGAGGCTAACCTGGGTATTATGTCTACATAAGGCTAACCTTGGTATTATGTCTACATTAGACTAACCTGGGTATTATGTGTACATGAGGCTAACCTGCGTATTATGTGTACATGAGGCTAACCTGGGTATTATGTCTACATTAGGCTAACCTGGGTATTATGTCTACATTAGACTAACCTGGGTATTATGTCTACATAAGACTAACCTGGGTATTATGTGTACATGAGGCTAACCTGGGTATTATGTGTTCATTAGGCTAACCTGGGTATTATGTGTACATTAGGCTAACCTGGGTATTATGTGTACATGTGGCTAACCTGGGTATTATGTGTACATTAGGCTAACCAGGGTATTATGTCTACATGAGGCTAACCTGGGTATTAAGAGTACACGAGGCTAACCTGGGTATTATGTCTACATTAGGCTAACCTGGGTATTATGTCTACATAAGGCTAACCTGGGTATTATGTCTACATTAGGCTAACCTGCGTATTATGTCTACATTAGGCTAACCTGGGTATTATGTCTACATGAGGCTAACCTGGGTATTATGTCTACATGAGGCTAACCTGGGTATTATGTCTACATAAGACTAACCTGGGTATTATGTGTACATGAGGCTAACCTGGGTATTATGTGTTCATTAGGCTAACCTGGGTATTATGTGTACATTAGGCTAACCTGGGTATTATGTGTACATGTGGCTAACCTGGGTATTATGTGTACATTAGGCTAACCAGGGTATTATGTCTACATGAGGCTAACCTGGGTATTAAGAGTACACGAGGCTAACCTGGGTATTATGTCTACATTAGGCTAACCTGGGTATTATGTCTACATAAGGCTAACCTGGGTATTATGTCTACATTAGGCTAACCTGCGTATTATGTCTACATTAGGCTAACCTGGGTATTATGTCTACATGAGGCTAACCTGGGTATTATGTCTACATGAGGCTAACCTGGGTATTATGTCATTGTGTTATGTCAACATTAGGCTGAACATTGTGTCATGTCTGCATTAGGCCGAACTTTGTGTTATGTCTACATTAGGCTGAACATGGTGTTATGTCTAGATTAGGCTGAACTTTGTGTCATGTCTAAATTAGGCTGAACATTGTGTCATGTCTGCATTAGGCTGAACATGGTGTTATGTCTATACCAGGCTGAACATGGTGTTATGTCTACATTAGGCTGAACATGGTGTTATGTCTACATTAGGCAGAACTTTGTGTTATGTCTGCATTAGGCCGAACATTGTGTTATGTCTATAACAGGCTGAACATGGTGTTATTTCTACATTAGGCTGAACATAGTGTCATGTCTACACTAAGCTTAACATGGTGTTATGTCTACATTAGGCTGAACATTGTGTTATTTCTACATTTGGCTGAACACTATGTCATGTCTGCATTAGGCTTGTGTTATGTCTACATAAGGCTGAACATGGTGTTATGTCTATTACAGGCTGAACATGGTGTTATGTCTACATTAGGATGAACATTGTGTCATGTCTACATTAGGCTGAACATTGTGTCATGTCTACATAAGGCTGAACATGGTGTTATGTCTACATTAGGCTGAACATTGTGTCATGTCTACATTAGGCTGAACATGGTGTTATGTCTATACCAGGCTGAACATGGTGTTATGTCTACATTAGGCTGAACATGGTGTTATGTCTGTACCAGGCTGAACATTGTGTTATGTCTACATAAGGCTGAACATGGTGTTATGTCTATACCAGGCTGAACATGGTGTTATGTCTACATTAGGCTGAACATGGTGTTATGTCTATACCAGGCTGAACATTGTGTTTTTCCTACATTAGGCTGAACATTGTGTTATGTCTATACCAGGCTGAACATGATGTCATGTCTACATTTGTCTGAACATTGTGTCATGTCTACATTTGGCTGAACATTGTGTCATGTCTATACCAGGCTGAACATGGTGTTATGTCTATACCAGGCTGAACATGGTGTTATGTCTATACCAGGCTGAACATGGTGTTATTTCTACATTTGGCTGAACATGGTGTTATGTCTGTCTTCAGAGGGGCTCCCCTTGGGTCCGTCCCGGCACCACCTGGAGAAGATGCTGGTCAGCCTCACAGAAGAAAGGTTAGTATTACACTAATGTGCAGAGGGAATGGTATCAGTGTTCTCAGTGGCTGACATGAGCCCAAGGAGAAGAGCAAATGTTCATAAACATTAAATATTCCATAGTTGTTATCAAATATTTCTCATTTAATTATATATATATTTTTTAATTATGATTGTATTTCACTGATAATATTAAATGTTATCAGGAGCACGCAACACTGGAAGTACCATGACAACAAGACCGTACTGAGGTTACTCCATTTAGTCCTCTTATTACACTATCTGTTTATAACAAGTGTTCATTGTGTTTGTGGACGGATGTTTGTAAACTATTTTATTAAATTTGTGCAAAATTTCATTCATTGTTTTACGTTAATTTTGTTGACAGAAAATGGACACATATATCATAAATGCCACACTTTGACTTACTGAAAGACATATTTGTTGTAGTTCGACTGTTAGGCTGCATGTCAACGAAATGGTAAAAGGTCAAACTGTTCCCTATGCAAAAGAATGTACGGCAGTAGCAATCAGCTGTTCCAAAGTGCTACTCTTATTGTTATTATTATTATTTTATATATATGTGGTAAAAGCTGCAAATAAAATAACACAATATTGGAATATGTTATTTCTAATAAAACAATAGTTTCAAATAGATTTCTGATCGTTGCATCAAAATTCTTTGAAGTTGTATTATTGTGTATTTTTTAACCGAATCACTGGTAGATTGGCAGAAAATATGTGTTCACATGATTGCTATTTCGGGTGAGAAAATATACACTGCGTGCTTAATTTCTGTATATGAAGCAATGCCTAGCAAAACTGGAAATACAATTTAATTGGTAAATCATCATGTCTACTGATATTTTATCTCAAATCTCACATTTTGTTGACCAATTGAAGTTTATCACCTGAATTCCCTGAAGGGATACGATGTAGCATTATATTTTAACACACATAATATGATGCCTGATAGCGCTTGGTCATCCTTCCAGGTCATATGTATACACTAATCAACAAAATAAAACACATGTTAGTCTATATTTTATATGGCCTCCACCATGGTCTAGTGGACCACCCGGAGAGCGGAAGATTGGGGTTTCGATCCCTGTTCGTGTCATACAAGAAGACATTGAAAAATGGTACCTGGCTTTAAGGGGTTAAAACAAGGACTGGTCGGCTCAGAGTCAGAGTTTACTGTGTCTGAGTTAGGTGTTCATGTTAAACTGTGACATGGTATCTCAGTGTGCTAGCACTATAAAATCTGCATTATTCTGGACTATTACAAGCAGCCACACACAAGAGCATGCACGTTACTGTATAAGTACAACAATCTTGAACATGACATTAAACTCCATTTACCTCACCTCACCTTATGTTTATATCCTTTGTAATGATATTCGTTCTCAGGTTGTAATATCAGGCAAGAACTTTCAAAAAAATATCCGGTTTGTAAATTTTAAAATGTCTGGTTTGCAATTTTTCAAATCGGACTTTTTGCAGACAGTCTGGTGCAGTGACAGGTTTCCAGATCCCTGGTTTACATCATTGTATTGTGTGCAATGTAAAATATCAAAAGAATTTTTTTTTGGATTCAGATTTTAGACAAAATACAAAATATTTTTACAGGTTTGACCGCCTTAGACACCTCAATAAAATTGTGATTCATTACAGCAAATAATGCAATTTAGACATCTGAATTTTTGTTTGTGTAATAAGAAAGGTTTGAAAACCTTTCTAAGAAACCAGATCTTCAGTAGCCATGATGTGTTGTAACATTTCATTTTTGTAAATGAAGGGAGGTAACTCTGCAAAATTCTTCGAAAACCTATTTTATCTCCCTTGGACCACTAATTTCCACTGATGAAAAATTAAGAGTTCCTTCTTTAATGCTTCTAGATATTTGTTGTTGGTCATAATGCAAATATATTTTGTTAACTTATCCTGCATTAATCCTTAATACATTTACTGGCAACGACTTTGACTTAGGCTGAAAATGGTGGTAGTCCTTGTTTCCGGAGCAGACCTTGAAAACTGTATGATATTTCTTCACCAAACTTGGCACATAGATAGGTCTAGTGGTGAACTGGTGCCTTTTGATAGTTTGGGATTCTAAACAAATTTATTTTTCGGGTTATCATGGCAACGACTTTGACTTAGGCTGAAAATGGCAGTAGTCCTTGTTTCCGGAGCAGATCTTGAAAACCATACCATATTTCTTCACCAAACTTGGCAAATAATGTCATCTTGCAGTATTGAATACATTTCCTTTCTTGTTGGCAAGTTCTGCATTGATTGTGTGTATGTTCCTCCAATAGTGTCATGGACACGGTTGTCTCATTCACTTACTAACTTCATGAAGCAACTTCAGGATCTCTCTTAGCAGCATAAATGTGAACATGTCCTAGTTACTCAGGATTTCAACTGTGATCTGACTGAAAAACTGAAGCTTGAAGATTTCTTTAACGTACGGAAAATGACTCTACTCATTCACTCTCCAATTCATTGTCTTGGAGCTACACTGGACTTGTTGTTCCTGATCATGCCAGTGCTGTAGCATTCCAGACTCCAGTCTACTACTCAGATCATCAGATGATTGGTACTGTACTTCTCAGTACACCTCATGGTGACCCCTGCCCTCATTGATCTCTAACTTACTTCTCTGATTATTGTTTAAGTAATAACATGACCCATTACAAATACAACAGTGTAACTGATCTTAAACCTACTCAACTGTATAAACACTGCCTCCTATCCTGTATATATTCTTGTCAACCATAATCTGTACTTCACTTGCTTGATAACGGTGTTAGAACCAACACCGAAACGTCAATCCTAATTGTAATAAAGAAGTTGTTCGTCCATATGTCTCATCCTTACTCATTACAAATACAGTTACGTATTCTATCATAAACTGCAGATGGCAAAACACCAGTAATAACTTTTTTTAGTGCTGCAATTAGGCCATTTACAAAAAGTCCAGTGAACATATTTCACAGGAGCAAATGCATTGCACACAACCAGACATGTCATATTGGCGGGGGATATGAGTATTTCATGCTTGTTCAGCGTTTATTGTGAATTATATCAGTGTTATGGCATGTGTCTTCACACAAATTTCATAGAATTTTACTGTCGCATTAATATTTTTGACATGATGGCAGCTACAAGTCACTGATAAATCATGTGCTTTGTTGTTCCAATCAGCCATTTTGATTTGCCAAGTGGTCAAGTTCTTGTGTTGCACATTCCTTGTTCTGTTTTACAGCTTTGTAATTTGTTATATTGTCTTACCTGAAGCTTCCAGTTTTGCAAAGTAAGACCCACTTCTGATGGACCAAGTGGAATGAAACTTGGCATAGGTATTAGTCTTTCTCCACATAGGAACCACCAAGAGTTAAACACTTCTCCCATTGTTTTATGCAACTATGGAGACCTCGCTTGTAAAAACCCTCATTTTGCATCTCAAACCAGGACTTGACTTCAGAAATCAGTGTTTCATCATCTGTGAAACGTTTTCCCTTCAAAAATGACTTCATGGTTGGAAAGAGGATGAAGTCAGATGGTGCAAGGTCAGGAGAGTAAGGAGGATGCAGAAGGATTTCATAGCCACAGGACCGCGCTTCTGTCTGGGCAACATGAGAGTTGTGTACTGGAGCATTGTCTTGCAGGAGACGGACACCCTTGGTCAGCATGCCACGCCTCTTAAGCTTGATAACGTCCCACAATTTCCGCAGCAGTGAAGCATAATAAGGTCCTGTAAATGTGGTACCCTTTGCAAAGAAATCCATCATCACTACTCTGTGCTGGTCCCAAAACACCGTGAGCATGACCTTACCTGCAGAGGGTTGGACACGTGCCTTCTTTGGGGGTGGTGACTCCACATGCTTCCATTGCATCGACTGAACTTTAGTCTCAGGATCATAGTGATGGACCCATGTTTCATCCTGTGTGATAAGTCTGTCAAAAAAGTTTGTCTGGTGTTTTTGGCCCATGTCCAAAAGATCCTTTGAGCAATTGACTCGTTCCTGCTTTTGGAAAGTTGTGAGCAACCTGGGAATCCATCGTGCAGACACCTTATGCATGTTCAAATTGTCATGGATGAATTTTTCCACAGACACTACACTGATCTTGACATCTTGTGCTAACTGGTTAACAGTTATACATCGGTCTGCCAAAATGGCGGTCTCCACTTGATTGATAGTGTCCTCATCAATGGCTGAATGGGGGCAACCAGGAATGGCAGCTGTTTTCACAGATGTCAGACCAGGGGTCCGGAAAATTTAAAATCCCAATCGGACATTTGCCTTTAGGCCACGCCCCCTTCAAATAGGGTATTTTAGTACGACTTTTCTCACACATTACAAGTTTACGTATTCATAATTTGATGAATTATGAATTGTTTCAATTTAAATTGTTTAATTCACCGGACAATTAATAACAAATAATGTCATTTTAGATTTACATGGAAAACATACGTTTGTTTCTTTTATAATAACGATCTGTTAACGTAGTGAACGGTCTAATTAATATTCATGAGTTATATTCATGAGTCTGCTCAAGTGTACGCGTTGTAACATTTGGATCGAGACTATTAACCCATATTTGGTTATCACGTGACCTCACGGGAAATGTGTTTTTTTAAACTAAAGATTTTTTTAAAAACAAGACAGATAATTTAATCACAAATACAAAAATATCGTTGATAGCAATAGTTATTTGAATACTTTTTTCATCTGTACTTATTTATTGACCATAAAAAAATTGGATATCGATCGTCCGAGAAAGCAAAATGGCGGTCAATCAAGATTCAATATACGACTAGCTACTGAAAACAATAAAATCTGCAAATCCTCATTGTATGTCAACCAAGTGAAAGTAGTTAGCCACGACTTACAAAATGATCGTCCAGACTTTGAGGGTTTTGCAGATCCGCTCGACTGATCTGCATCGGTCGACTGGCTGTCGTCACGCTTTCGCTTCTTGTCTGAGGTTACGTATCGTAGCATTGTGAGGATAATGAGGTACATCGATGATGCAAGGTATTAATGTACAGTTGTAAACACCTTTCACTCAAATTAACAAGATGTTCTCAGTAATTAATCCTCGATTAATCAGTGTCAACTCAGTTTATTGCCTATTACAGTGATTGACCGATTGGACTATCATGTAGGTTTGATGTATTTACAGCAATCAAAACAAACAAAGCTTGTCAGTGTAGTTAATCTTCATTGTGTTGCAACTGCAGACAGAAACTGCTCAGTCCTAACTGTTGATCATGTCCGGTCAAAATTTAAGAATATCCGGACAATACTTTTTAAAATGTCCGGTAAGCAATATTTTAAAACGGACATTTGAGATTCCCAATCGGACATGTCCGGCGCATATGACGGTTTCCGGACCCCTGTGTCAGACCACACTTGAACTGCTGATGCCAGTGTTTAACAACGTCATATGATGGGGCATCTTCCCCATAAGTTGCTTTCATTTCATGGAAAGTTTCTTTTGGTTTGCGACCTTTCAAATATAAAAACCTAATCACTGCTCTGTATTCTACTGGCTCCATTGTCATGGCTCTACTCGATCATAACACCTGTAAAAGTGGTAAGATTAATAGTTCGATGCTGCAAGTTCAGACATAACCCATAGATACATGTATCATTACACATGTGAAATTTCAACCAAATATGATAACCCTAAGTGGTTTAGGGGAAATCTTTAATGAACACCCCTCGTATGCCCACCTCTGTACCATCCTAATTCAGATGCATTAAGGAGTAATGCAGGATAAGTTAAGAAATTAGTAAAATTTAAAGATGTTTTACATTTGTATCATTATCCTGCATTACTATGTCTAAGGACGCACACATTGCAGAGCTGCCCCCCCCATGATGACTAAGATGTTATGATCAAGTAGTAATGTGAAGATGCATGATGTCACCACTTCCGTGGTAACGGGGCCTCTGTGTGGTGGGATTAGCGACACAGCTAGGTGGAACAATTTCTTCTTCAGCTGGACCTCAGGCAGCTTCATCTTTGAAAAATCGACAGTAAATGCATTAAGAACTAATGCAGGATAAGTATACAAATCTATAAAATATTTAAATATTTAAATTTTACTAATTCTATTTCAGGCCAAAGAAGTACAGGAATTTATCAAAGAGCATGTACATGCCAGCCTACGAGGGAGACTTGGAAAAACTGCTCTATATGCTGAGTGAGTACTTTCAATAAGTAGTCATGACTTTGAGTGTAACAGATGCCATTAGATCATGTAGTGTTTCTCCCTGCCGTATTCTGTGATTCCATAGTTGCAGAATATTTTGCAGAAATGCCCACTTGGTGCAGAAATGTAGCTATCTTGCAGAAAACCACATTTTGTGCTGAACATGTGCAGCATTTTGCATTTATCTGCTGCAGAGTTTGTACACTTCAATATGTTATTCGAAAGCTGATTTTAAGCATGTAAACCGATATTTATTTTGTGTTGACTTTTGTATCATTGCCGAAAGTGCATGTCTGTATGCTTACACTTGTGGTCTGATTCACTTCAATAAGCTATTCTAGCTGTGGGTAAGTTTTTCGTGAAGATGCCTGTCACAATTCAAACAGGTGCAAAACTACGAAATTAATAAAAACTAAGCTTTAAAGTTTATAAAATTATGTGCAGAATTTAGTTGCAGAATTTACAAAATTTGATCACTGAAATATTTTTGTGACTGCAGAATACAGTGGGACTAATAGATTTCAGGTATTTTTCCAAAAAAAAAGGAAAGAAAATTGGTGTTTTTGATTATATACGGTCTTCTACATGATGATTAATTGATTGACAGTTGATGGTGTGGATCCAAACTATCAGTACGAGGAGTACGACGACGAGACTGCGCTTCACGGGGCAGCTGCTAGTGGTCATCTGGCCATTGTCCACATCCTTATCCAGGCAGGAGCAGCTAATCACATGAAGGACAAGACACTGAAGACACCCCTCATGATGGCGGCGGAGCACAATAAACCCAATGTTGTACAGTACCTCATGAAGGTCGGAGCCAGGGTGGATGACAGGGTACATACAATACCAGTGTTTTAAATCATCTTATTAATTGTAAAGTGTGCATGCTAGCAACTTAGATTAACTACTCTGGAATTCAGTGTTTTCCTTAAGACCAACTCTACTCAGAGATCATGTTCAGGTGAACACATGGTGCATGAGTTGGTTGTCTCTGAAGTTTATACAGCCTGTAAATCCAGTGTTAGTTTGACCACCATGTTCAATATTCAATATGTATTGGGATTCTCTAAAGACATGTAATTCAGGGTTGTGTTCAAGCCAGAGATTGAATATTAAGTGACTTGGTAGATAAGTGCCAAAGATCACCAACCAGCAATGGCTTGATGACAAGCACATTCATTATGCCTGCTGACTGCATTGCCCAATACCCGTGAAGACCCATGTCAGAATAGGTCTTCGTCAACTAATTCTTTCTGTAAAAGGCTTCTATATTTGTCTTAAAGAGTGGTGAGGCTCGCTTACTTGGCAGATGCATGTCATCGTATCCCGAATGCATGGATTGATGCTCATGATATCAATCACTGTATTATCTGGTCCGGTTCTGATGTTTGTTTTGACATGTTGTGACATGTGTACATGTGTCTGTGGGGGAGGTTCTAATGTTTCTTGTGAATGACCATTGTACATGTGTCTGTGGGGAGGTTCTAATGTTTGTTGCGACTGACCATAGTACATGTGTCTGTTGGGGAGGTTCTAATGTACAGTTTGTTGCGACTGACCATAGTACATGTGTCTGTTGGGGAGGTTCTAATGTACAGTTTGTTGCGACTGACCATTGTACATGTGTCTGTGGGGAGGTTCTAATGTTTGTTGCGACTGACCATAGTACATGTGTCTGTTGGGGAGGTTCTAATGTACAGTTTGTTGCGACTGACCATTGTACATGTGTCTGTGGGGAGGTTCGAATGTTTGCTGTGACTGACCATAGTACATGTGTCTGTGGGGAGGTTCTAATGTACAGTTTGTTGTGACTGACCATTGAAAATGTGTCTGTTGGGGAGGTTCTAATGTACAGTTTGTTGCGACTGACCATAGTACATGTGTCTGTGGGGAGGTTCTAATGTACAGTTTGTTGTGACTGACCATTGAAAATGTGTCTGTTGGGGAGGTTCTAATGTACAGTTTGTTGCGACTGACCATTGTACATGTGTCTGTGGGGAGGTTCTAATGTACAGTTTGTTGCGACTGACCATTGTACATGTGTCTGTTGGGGAGGTTCTAATGTACAGTTTGTTGCGACTGACCATAGTACATGTGTCTGTGGGGAGGTTCTAATGTTTGTTGCGACTGACCATAGTACATGTGTCTGTGGGGAGGTTCTAATGTACAGTTTGTTGCGACTGACCATTGTACATGTGTCTGTTGGGGAGGTTCTAATGTACAGTTTGTTGCGACTGACCATAGTACATGTGTCTGTGGGGAGGTTCTAATGTTTGTTGCGACTGACCATTGTACATGTGTCTGTGGGGGAGGTTCGAATGTTTGTTGCGACTGACCATAGTACATGTGTCTGTGGAGGAGGTTCTAATGTTTGTTGCGACTGACCATTGTACATGTGTCTGTGGGGAGGTTCTAATGTTTGTTGCCACTGACCATAGTACATGTGTCTGTGGGGAGGTTCTAATGTACAGTTTGTTGCGACTGGCCATAGTACATGTGTCTGTGGGGAGGTTCGAATGTTTGTTGCGACTGACCATTGTACATGTGTCTGTGGGGAGGTTCTAATGTTTGTTGCCACTGACCATAGTACATGTGTCTGTGGGGAGGTTCTTATGTACAGTTTGTTGCGACTGACCATAGTACATGTGTCTGTGGGGGAGGTTCGAATGTTTGTTGTGACTGACCATTGTACATGTGTCTGTGGAGGAGGTTCTAATGTTTGTTGCGACTGACCATAGTTCATGTGTCTGTTGGGAGGTTCTAATGTTTGTTGTGACTGACCATTGTACATGTGTCTGTGGGGAGGTTCTAATGTACAGTTTGTTGCGACTGACCATAGTACATGTGTCTGCAGGGGGAGGATGGCATGACCTGCATCCACTATGCGGCCAAGGCTGGACACACTGAGGTCATCAAACTACTGCTGGAGAGTGGCAAGATTGGACCTAACACACAGGTCAGTGCACATACTGTTGAATTTGCCTTTAGAATTGTTGTCTTGTTACATTGATTTTTTTTAAAGACAAGATCCCAACAGCAGCTGGTTTTAGCTGCTGCAGTGTTCGTGCTAGTTTGCTGAAGAGCATACAGGGATGCATCTTTCTTGAAAAAAATATGCCACAAATGTAAGATAGTTGTGTATTTATCATGTTAATGCATCCAAAATTATGTTGACCGTTTTTTCTGATATAACTTGACCCATTGGCAAAAATAGATTTTGGAAACTATTGTAAGGGAGTCAATCCATCAGCTTACTTCAAGCGTCAGTGAATCAGCTGCTGGGAACCCAGGCCCCTCACAGCAATACCCTGTTCCCAGCAATACCCAGTTCCCAGCAATACTCTGTTCCCAGCAATACCCAGTTCCCAGCAATACCCTGTTCCCAGCAATACCCAGTTCCCAGCAATACCCTGTTCCCAGCAATACCCAGTTCCCAGCAATACCCTGTTCCCAGCAATACCCTCTTCCCAGCAATACCCTGTTCCCAGCAATACCCAGTTCCCAGCAATACCCTCTTCCCAGCAATACCCAGTTCCCAGCAATACCCAGTTCCCAGCAATACCCTCTTCCCAGCAATACCCTGTTCCCAGCAATACCCTGTTCCCAGCAATACCCTGTTCCCAGCAATACCTAGTTCCCAGCAATACCAAGTTCCCAGCAATACCCAGTTCCCAGCGCTACTTACTGGGAGGGTTATGAAGGTGTCAGGCACTGCAATGGAGCAGGTGTGTGATGTACCACATTAGGGCTGGGACGGGTCCAAATTTACTACCTGGGTACCCACCACCCTATTACCCGACCCTACCTGGGTACCTGTTGTAGATATTTAGACATAGGTACAAACTGTACTATTTGGAAAGGTTTGACCTTAGCCCTGGCAAAATGTATTTAGAAACACGTGTAAAACGATCTGGTCATGCATACACTGAAGTTTACTGCATGAAGTTTTATCTTTATTCAAACATATAAAAGTAAGAAGGAATAGGTGCATTGTCAGAAAGAAATGGGAGCATTAGTGACTTACAGTGTAATCAAAGAGTTTTAGATAATTTTTGTCATTAAACAATATATATCACATGATTAACCACGGGTCCGGGTAGTCCTGTGGGTACCCGGGTCCTACTCAGGACCCACCCGACCCGAGTACCCGAGTAACCCGTCCCAGCCCTATACCATATGTACACTGCTCACTCCTGATGTAAGCACACTGGGAAAGTATGTTCCCACGTAGGTATTGAGATGTCTTGCTCCCAACTGAATGTTTCTAAATGCTTTCTGGATTGGTCCCATCTCCCGTACAGCTTCCCAGTATTGAGTGATCCCTGACTTTGTTTGTGTAGGATGACGGCGGGTGGACACCCATCATCTGGGCAGCGGAGTCACAGCTCACTTCCACTGTCCGATTCCTCATCTCACAGGGAGCAGACCCAACCATGAAGGACAATGTAAGTTTGTGCAGACACTCGTAGCACATCACATCGAATGTGGACCAACATGATGTTTTGCCATCTGTGACTTAAGACAGGAACCTGAGTCTAGTGTAGCTTATTTGGGGCTAGTAAACTTGCTTTGGGGCAAAATCTAGATTGAGAAGGGCAATTTAAAGATGATAGACTTTGAGGTTTTGGGTTCAGACAACTTCTTTATTGTCCCTTAATACAGAACATTGAGAGATTCTTGTGATTTTATTTTTACTTAAAAGACCTGTGTGTCAGTGTTCCCCATATCACTGGGCTGTCTGGCTCACTCTGAAGACACCATATTTTGTAGAAGTTTAGTACCTAGTAGTTCATGATGTATAGTATTGATGACCTGGGCTTGCTTTGGTTCTCCTTATATTATTTCTTGAGTGGCATTTAGAAGATGAACCTTCTCCTTCTGTGGACTGTTGGCAGGAGGAGAACACAGGCCTCCACTGGGCAGCCTATGCTGGCAGTGTTGCCATCACAGAGATGTTCTTGGATTCAGGATGCGAGTTTGACACCCCCAATGAACATGGAGATCGACCATTGTAAGTGAAGTTGGTAGAACTCATTACTCATTCTACAGTGAATGTCTCATTGGCTGATTGCCGTCCATATGCTTGTTGTTTAACTGCTAAGAATCTGTCAAGCATGGATTCTACTTGTATTGCCAACCAATATTATATTGATGTGATGATCCAAATAATTGTGCATTTCTTCTTTTTTGATATGATCACTTAATACAAACAGTCTTGCTTCTTTTGCAGACATATAGCAGCCCGACAGAACCACTATGAGAGTGTTGTGTAAGTACTCACTGTTAATGTCTATGTCTGTGAGGCACTGTTTAATATATGATAGCCTGTGTGCAGCTTGTTCATAGTGAAATAGAGTGTTGATTAATTCCACCTGAAAGAAGTTCATTAAAAAAAGGTGACCTCCATGGTCAAGTCATCTACCTCATACTAAACAATCTGGATTGTGGACAGATTTGGATCAAAATTGTTTCAACAGTCTTATGAACATTGCTCAGGTTCCATAGCTATCTTAATCTGTTGATATGGAGGAGGTCTGATGGTCACTTGGTCATAATTAACATTATCATGGTGTGGTTGAACTAATGATGACTTTCAAAATGAAGGCAAGTCAAAACTTGCTAAGCACAATGTAAGTGGTCAAGGTTGACATGTAATGGTCACCATACATATCTTCAGTTGACCACAAATCCTAAATCATTTCTGGTGTAATATTTTGTTTTGAAAAATGAACCGCGTTAATTTCGTTGTTTTCAGGCTGCTGCTGGCCCGAGGTGCTGATGTAGAAGTGCGAAACAACAATAACGAAACTCCACTCACGGTATGGCTCCCTGCACCTGTGTCTCATGGAGGAGCAGGTGCTTGTGTGCTTTTGTTCAACATTGATTACTCTGTTCTTAATAAGAGAAAAACACACGCGCACATGCACACTCGCACACGCACACGCACACAGAGTAAGTCCCCTCCATGTGGATGAAAAGTATGGCTAAAAGCAGCATATGCTCACTCACTTACTCACTCACAAGCAGCCACACACACACACACGTGCATGCACGTCGCTATATAAGTGCAATAATCTTGGACGCGACGTTAAACCCAATTTCACCTCACCTCACCTCACCTCACCTCACCTCACCTCAACCACTCAACCACTCAACCAACCACTCAACCACTCAAGCACACCCAGTGTAAACAGAAGGAGATTCAGTTTTGAGGTTAAGTATTTTCACATCAAAGCTGATGTATTCCTTGCTTTTTTTTTCAGTATTTAAAACGTGAACTTGCGTTTGGCTGGAGTATATCTCTTTGTGTTCAAAGCTCTGTGACATATCCACTTGTTTCCTGTATGTTTTCAGATAGGGATATTTTTTTCCATGATGTGTTTGTTTGCTGTTGTTTCAGTGTTGTCTTGATCAGACGAGTAACACTTGGATGGCTCTCAAAGTAAACAAACAGCTCAAGGGATTTGCAGCTAAACTCACTCGACCAGAAAAGTTGCTTCATAGGTAAGACACAAGATTGGATATGCTTATCCATATTGAGAGTGTATTTTTCAGTCATTGTTATGCTGTGATATCCTTGTACTGTGAACATCAGTCCCAGTCTGCTGTGAGCGACCCACTGATTCCCCTTTCTCCTTGTCACAGAGACATCTCCTACGGGCGGGAAAAGAACCCCATTGCATGTGTGAATGCTGCAGATGATGAACAGTTTCCAACGGATTACCTGTATGTTGCTGAGAATATAGAAACAAGTCCTCTCAACATCAACCGAGTCATCACCAGCCTGCAGGTACATGCCCCGTCACATGCCCTGTCACATGCCCCGTTAAATGCTCCGTCACAAGCCCCGTCACATGCCCCGTTAAATGCTCCGTCACATGCCCCGTCAAATGCTCCGTCACATGCCCTGTCACATGCCCCGTTAAATGCTCCGTCACATGCCCCGTCAAATGCTCCGTCACATGCCCCGTCACATGCCCCGTCACATGCCCCAGTAAACACCAACCACACCCATCTTGGTGAAAGTATTTTTGTCCCCCGCCGCGCGAAAGCGCGAAGCGGGGGATATAGTATTCACGACCGTCCGTACGTCCGTCCGTACGTCCGTACGTACGTCCCACCTGTTTGTTGCCGCGATATCTCAAGAACTAAACACTGGATTGTCTTCATATTTGGAAATATGGTGTATATACAGACTCCGAAGACACCAGTCGGTTTTGGTGACCTTGACCCCATTTTCAAGGTCACAGCAGGTAAATCTGCTTTTGGAGTTGGAAAACGGTGTTGCCGCGATATCTCAAGAACTAATCTCAGGATTGTCTTCCTATTTGGTACTAGGGTGTATATACGGACTCCGCAGACACCAGTCGGTTTTGGTGACCTTGAGCCCATTTTCAAGGTCACAGCAGGTAAATCTGCTTTTGGAGTTGGAAAATGGTGTTGCCGCGATATCTCAAGAACTAATCGCAGGATTGTCTTCATGTTTGGAACTATGGTGTATATACAGACACCGCAGACACCAGTCGGTTTTGGTGACCTTGACCCCATTTTCAAGGTCACAGCAGGCAAATCTGCTTTTGGAGTTGGAAAACAGTGTTGCCGCGATATCTCAAGAACTAAACACTCGATTGTCTTCATATTTGGAACTATGGGGTATATACAGACTCCGCAGACACCAGTCGGTTTTGGTGACCTTGACCCCATTTTCAAGGTCACAGCAGGCAAATCTGCTTTTGGAGTTTGAAAACAGAGTTGCCGCGATATCTCAAGAACTAAACACTGGATTGTTTTCATATTTGGAACTATGGTGTATATACAGACTCCGCAGACACCAGTCGGTTTTGGTGACCTTGACCCCATTTTCAAGGTCACAGCAGGTAAATTTGCTTTTGCAGTTGGAAAACGGTGTTGCCGCGATATCTCAAGAACTAATCTCAGGATTGTCTTCATGTTTGGAACTATGGTGTATATACAGACACCGCAGACACCAGTCGGTTTTGGTGACCTTGACCCTATTTTCAAGGTCACAGCAGGCAAATCTGCTTTTGGAGTTGGAAAACGGTGTTGCCGCGATATCTCAAGAACTAATCGCAGGATTGTCTTCATATTTTGTATTTTGGTGTATATACAGGCGGGGGACATTTCGTCACTTCTGTGACAAATACTTGTTTACACCTAAGTTGAGCTTAAATGGAATTTTCTGTCATTTGATATTATCCCATTCATGTGTGATTAGATTAACTGACTGTGTCACTGTGTATTCACTATCTTAATATCTGTGAATAAAACTTAGTCCGGCATATCTGGTGATGTTTTATCGTAAATTTCATGCTTTCATTGACCAAATTTGCAAACAGCAAAACAAGCACACAAACTCCTATAGCTGCCATGACCATAACAAGAGATACACATTAAAGCAGTGCTCATGTAAAGGGAAGTAATGGCACGCTATAATGGATTGCATTGTTTTAAAGTAGTGTAGCATTTCACTGCCAGGATCGTGTCTTCAAAACCCTGAATATTTAAGGACTTTATTTTTAAAAAAATGGAAATATAAACAAAACGTGCGGAAGACTTTATGATGATACAGGCTAGTGCCTGAGAACCAAGATTATTATTTTTCTTAGCCTAAGATAGTTAGCTTTCAACTCTGTGTTGAATTTTCTAAATGATAACTTGTGGAATTTTTTTTGCATGTATTATATCAAATTATGAAATAGTAGCATGCATTCCTAAACAGTCCTGCCTATTTTCTGTATCCCCCACGCTATGTGTTTGTGTATATTACACCTGACGTGGGATTGAGATGACATTGTGTGTTACAGAGCTGCCGGTGTAAAGATGACTGCTCCTCCCAGTTCTGTGTGTGTGCTAGAAGCAGTGTCAAGTGCTGGTTTGACAAGGTATAGTGACAGCATGTCTCACATGTATTCCACTGCTTTAGATCATGGTAGATTAAGCTGTTGATGAACTTCTTTTTTTGACAGATGATTCTCTCTACATGCCATAATGAGCATGATGAGTTTTGATGTTGTTTTCCCCAATACAGACAATACCATGAGCATGTAACACCTGAAATACTATACCAACAAATCCGTACTAAAGTTCTCACACTGTATGGTTATAAACAATGTGTATTGTATATTTGGACTTATGTTTGTAATCTATTTTATAAGTTTTATTTAAAATTTCATTCAATATTGGTAACATTAACTTCAGCAAGATTGTGTGTGAACTGATTGGCAGATGGCACAAACTTACTGTTATTTAAAGCAACCACCATCAGATTATACTACTGACACCTTGAAACAAAACTTTAGTTGACAGAAAATGGATACTTATATCTTAAATGCCAAAGTTTGGCTTGTTACGAGTCATATTTGTTGTAGTTTGACCATTATCTGTGAACATAATGTTTTTGCCATCACGGCCACGGGAAACCTCAGTATATGAAATATCCAGCAATTGCGATCAGTGAGACCAAAGTGCTACATTTATAGCTAATATTACTGTAAAGATATATGGTAATAGCTGCAACTAAAATAACACGATATCGGAATATATTATTCCTGATAAGATAATAGTTTCAGATACAGTTCTTCTGACCATTGCATCAAAGTCCTTTGAAGTTATACTATTGTGTAATATTTTTGCCAAATCACCTGTTTTTTTGGGGGGGAAAAGTGTTACAATGTGATTATTTTCTGCTCACAAAAATCTTTTTTCTCATAAATACTAAAATACTGAGTCCCCTACAGGGTAGTATGCATCATGCTTGGGTGCGCACTATATTCATGAAATAATAATAATAATGATAATAATGATAATATCTGTTTGCTGCTCAGGACCAGTCTCTTCCAAATCGAAACCGTCAATGTGTGATTGTGCATCAAAATGTAAATATGAAATGTAGATTATGTAATGAATTTAATGAGATTGTCCAACACATTGTGAGTGGATGCCCAGCTTTGGCACAAAAACAGTATCTTAAACAACATGATGGTGTAGCTCGATCATTTTATTACCATCTTCGCCATGCTTGTGGATTTGACATAGCGGTCCACCCATGGTACGACCCGGAATATGTGGAGGGCTTCATGGAAAATGATCAATACAAAATACTTTGGAATAGGAATAGGAATTTACAGCCTCAGACATATCCAGGCCAACAAACCTGCTCTTGTCCTTTTTGATAAATCAAATGAAATCATTTATATCATTGAATTTTCTGTCCCCTTTGACACTAATGTGACAAGATTGAGGAAAAACATGGCAAATATGCGGACAAGGCTTTCGAAATCTGACAATCTGGGTAATGCAGAAGGCTGCAGTGTTGGGGAGTCTTCACATTCTCTGAAAAGTTCTGGGTGGGTTTGACCAGGCACCGCTTCCTGGGATAAGTCCCATTCGCTGTCTGGGCTGCGTGTAGAGGGGGCAAGGGCCCTGAGCTGATGATGAGCCTAACCAGCCTGACTGTGCCAGGATCATCCAAACCCTCTTTGCTGCATTTTTTATTTTAATCTGTACATAATGATGATGATGATAATAATAATGAGGCCAATTGTGTAATTGCTGTGTACAAACACACAGTTGAGAAGTGTGAATATTGCTGAAATAAATGGGTCTTTAGTCGGGATGTCAGTTGTGTTAAGTGTGATGTTTGTTGCAGTTTGGTCATCTGACAACAGACTTCAACCTGGTGGAGCCCCCGCTGCTGTTTGAGTGCAACAAGGCCTGTCGGTGTTGGACCAACTGCAACAACCGGGTGGTACAAAATGGCATCACGTGAGTCCCCATCAGCCAGCCACATGTCTGCTGCATGCTTGTAGCCTCAAAACTTACTAGAATCTGAACAGCGCACTTGATTTATGAATACTAAATGTCTACAGTTACTGCTTAGTGAGTGCAATATAAAAACAAAAATGTCTGCTGCTAGATCATGGTAGATTAAGCTGTTGATGCTGAATTGAGTACTTCTGTTTCTGACTGGGGATTTCAGGTATTACAATTGTGGCTGTGGATGAGTATCTGCTTATTGGTTAGCCAAAGTTTGACAACTCTAGTGACAATGGACTTTGTAGAGGAAGTAGTTGAGGAAGCTGCTGCTTGTATGTGACCAATGATGACCAACACTGCGCAAAATTTAAGAGGTTGTCATATCAGGATCCCGAGACAATGTCTTGTGTTGAGCCTGGTAGTGACTGACTTCAGTGTTAACTACAGTGATCTGAGGGCATACAGCACAATGCGATCTAGCTGACATATCTTGGTATGGTTGATAGCAGTTGTGTTAAGTGTAACAAGGCTGGTGATTGTTAGAAAAACTGTAACAACCATGTGAGTCCAAACCATGCATGGTTACAGCCTAGAAAGTTACTTGATTCTGAATAGCACACCAAGTTTATGAATACTAAATACTTAATGTTGATTAGCACATTTAGCACATTTGCATAGATGCCAACTGCCCCAGGTTGTTTGTATTTATTATGAATTTGGAACTAAAATACGTAAAATATGAAGTTGTCAGCTATGCATTTATTTCATAAACCCTGAATAGCAAAGTTCTGGCTTGCTTAGGATGTCATGTTGGTATGAACCACATAACGAAGTCTCTCACATTAATGAAAGTTCATGAATGTATTTAAGTGCCTCATGTTCATGCACCAACTAACTGAGTTGTTCTGTTTCCAGTTGCCGACTTCAACTTGTGAGGACCACTGGGCGGGGCTGGGGGGTGAAAACTCTCACCGATATTCCTCAGGGAACTTTTATCTGCGAGTAAGTCCTGTGGATTCTATTAGTAGTCTTGTCATTAGAGAAAATAATATCTTACTGCCATTGTGTTGAAACAGTGTGCATACAGGTTGTCTCCCTTTGCTAGTGCGAGTGTTGTTGATTGACTCATCTCTCTTGTATCTTACAGATACATCGGTGAACTCATCTCAGACTCCGAGGCGGACAGGAGGGAAGATGACTCGTATTTGTTCGACCTAGATAACAAGGTAGGTTACTCAGTCAGGGTGACGAGAGACCTGCTTCAGTCCCAGCCCAGAAGTAAGGGGGACAGTGGTCACTCCCTTTGCTATGCTGGGACAATCTGCTACAGTTTCTGAAAATTGATCATGTGTCCAGGGGTCCTTGTCCTAACCCTGATATAAAAAAGTTAAAGATTTAAGGGCTCCCTTCATTTAAATACCATAGAAGACCTCAAGGCCCCCAGAATAGCCTGCAGCACTTGCTACATAGTAAAAGTAAGCTCAGTGACATATGCACATTGTCAGCTCTTATCTACTGATTACTATGAAGCTATTTCAATGGTATCATAATCGCAAACATGACCTGTATGGATGAAATACCGAATTTTTGTTTGAATAAGGCTGGAAGGCTGTGGGAAGTATGAGAAGTATAATTGATTATTATCACATCGCAGTTCATTAACAGTCATTGACAACAAACACGACAAATGCCAAACCAGCTATTCAGGGTAACAGCCCAAACAGTTATTTAATGTACTTGTGCACTCTAGGTAATATTTGATGTTTTATCCATGTTACAGTTGATGTTAGTGTGATATCATTTGAAGGAGTTTGTTTATATTGAAGGATATTTTAACAGGAACAATTGGTAAATTCTGTAACAAGCATTAGTTCTTTGAACACATAACCTCTATTACATCACAACCTTAAATCCAGTGCTTTGGCTGTTGTACATTATGAAATCTTCAGATTTTTCAACAGACGTCTTCTTCACTGCCAGCAGTCCAATGAGTCTACACAAAGATTGTATCTCCCTAACCAAGGCATCTGTTGATGTGCAAGGGTGGAAAACGTCACTTCTTTTCTGTGTGTGCTAAGATAAACAAGGAAATGTTTTCCCTGTATGTTTGCACACGATAGTTTGTCTTTTCTCACTATAATTCCTATTTATTATATGCTTATTAAGAAAGGATTTTTCATGTAATTGTATAGTTTGGAATGTATTGTCGGACATGGATTCCCCTGTATTCTGTCAGGATTGTGGCATTTCCCAGGTCCCTCATGACCCTCTCCCTCACTGCTACAGGTGCGGGGATGTGTTGTGCACTCCAGATTCTAAATGTCAGAGTTCCTGACATTAATGGACATTTTGCCAGTTTTATCGTCCAAAAAATCAAGATCTAAGAAAGCAAGTCATATGAAGGTAAGGTGATGCTTGGTGGTGGGGTTATAGAAGAATCTAAAACCATGTCTCACCGGGGCAAGAAGATAATGAATCATAGGGAGTTTGCTGAGCAATCTCATCCTACTGTACACCCTCCTAAGGAAAAGGTGATTAGCTCTGGGGTCCTGACGCTGTCAATCTCACATGAGCTCTGCAGGCTAGGAGGCTGAAATTATGGCTGCCTCTGTGTCTATCCTGAACCGACCAGTCCCCTTCAACATGGAACATTCTCTTTCAGATTAAATCCTCCTTGGGGCACTTATTCCATTTTCCTTGCTCAAGAAAATCTACATGACATAGTTGTAACCATTTTCCTCATTAAAATGTTACCACACAAAAAACTTCGTTTTTGTATGATATACGACCACCCTTACAGGGCCTCAACCTCCAAGGCGTGTCTCGCCAGGGGAAGCAACTCTCACCCAAATCACTTTCCTTTATGTCATACTACTGACAAGACGTTTTGATTTTTCAAGAAAGTTTCAACAACAAAATCGTTCACTGAGACACCATGACTGACCAAACTGTATGTATGGCACATTTCTTTCCTTGCAAAGGCGTAATACCTCGCATTGTAAAGTTATAGTGTTGTAATTCTCATAGAAGAAACGCCATGTGTACGGTACATTTGAATTCAAATGGCCGTAATGGCGTCCATTGTGTGGTTCCACTGTCTGACACATGTAACACCTAGGCCATCAGAACGGCTTGGGTTTTTGTTATATCATACAGAATTGAACTGCAGGTTTTCCTTTACATAAACCCAAGGTGGTGTGCTAGATTAAAACTACACTTACCTTTTTACGGGTTTTTACACCTTAGCGCGAAACACGCCCCCTTGGTGTTAAAAAATTATACTACGGACATTGGCTATTAGTATCGCGTTACAAATTGCGTTCTACAATACGCCTTTGCTTCTGTTTTCACAATTTTGCATGTATCTTCCGATCTTTAATATCGCACTGATACACTATTTCCCACCCCCAACCGAACTCAGAATTTACGGTCTTTTTTACAGACCTTCAATTTTTGTTCGGGATGTAGGTCAAACGTCCCACCCCAGGACCAGCATGTAAGCTGCCTGAAGTGTTTGGTTGAAAAGGAGAATGATGCCCCATCTGCCGGGCGTTTACCCCGAAAACTATGAAGCTGCGGCACGCCGACCTCATCCATTATAAGAGTCTACTTGAGGTGGGGGTGGACATACACTCTAAGAAGGCCACAGCGGAGTCAGACGCCTTCTCTGAGGCCGAGGCTTCTGCTAGTGGATCTGTGGCCCAGAGCCAGTTGGGTTCCCTTGAATGCGATGCGAAGCCCCAGGTCTTCGGGCATCCTATTCCTACCTCGTCTGCTTACTCTCTCGAGGACGAGTCGATTACGGTCGGCTCGGAATCGAGAGATGAGGAGTGGATGGAGGAGGGAGGGGATGACTCATAAGGTTCGGGGACAATCTCCTTCGCATCCTCGTTGAGGCACTTACGGGACAAGGACTGTCCTGGTACTGCCTCAGGTGGCTGCGCCCATGCCCGCGTCGGATCCGACTGAGTTCCGCCTTCCGGGGGACATCTTTGCTCCTAGCTAGGCGCTCCAGGTGCGGCTCCGCATATTGTCCTCCTTGGCACACGAGGTCATCGATCCTCTGCTTTGGAAGTTCGACCTGCCCGAACTCATTAAGCGGTACCCGTTAGCAGAGGACGGTGATTTTGAGGTGCCAGTGGTCGACGAGTGTGTATGGACTTCTGTCACCCTGGGAGGGTCTTCGACCCCTATCTTGGCTAAGGCCAAGCAGGGCCGGCGGTTGCCCCCCTTTCCCATGTGCGGTGCAGAGCTGAAGGCTGCATACGTTTGCTTCGAGGAGCAATACCGTAATGCATGCCAACAGCTTCGCACATCCGTACAATCCGCCTATCTGTCTGCTGTACAGAGGGAGCTAGTGGGGGAGGGGCTGGCTGACTCTTCGGAGTTGGATGCTATCAGTAGCTGTGCCTCGCAGATGATGTGCGCTGTTATGGGCATGCGCAGGCTGTGGATGTCGGTATCTAAATACTCGACTTCCACACGCCAAGACCTCCTTGCTTTGCTGTATAAGATGGGTGCCACCCTCTTCCCTGGGGCTCAGCAGGTTGTCCGAGAGGCCGCTCAATTGTATGCTTCCATCAAGGACTCTAAGGCCTTGTTGGAGGTACCAAGCGTTAAACCGCGTAAGCGGACCTCTCCGCTTGACTCCTCCTACGCTGATGCACCGGGTCAGAAGTCCACACCTGCTTGGAAGCAGCCGCTTAATTCAGGTAAGGGCGCCGGGAGGAGCAAGCGAGGCAGGGGCCGGGGTTATGCAGGTGGTCGAGGCCAGCAGCCTTTTCGCGGGGCCAGGGTTCCCATTAGCGCCCGAAGAGCCCCAGGTGGACCCACAGTCGCAAGTTATCAAACTGCCGACAGCCGGGGTCCACTGCCTCAAGACGGATGTCCCCGTAGGCGGCCGAATGGCTCTATTCCTGAAGGAATAGGAGACAGTTACATCCAATCCCTGGACCCTGTCCACTCTAAGGGATGGCCATTTGCCTCGGTGAAAACATCATCCGCCCCACTTCTCTGGGATAAAGCAGACTCCGGTGCCTGCTACCCGAGAGAAGGTGGAATTTCTCCATGCCGAGGTCAACGCACTTATGAAAGCTGCGATCGAACCAGTTCCAGTGGGACAGGAAAGCAAGGGCTTCTACTCGACATATTTCCTAGTCACCAAAAAAGACGATGGCTTCAGGTCTATTCTCAATCTGAGAAGGCTGAACAAACTTATAGAGGTACCGTCCTTCAGGATGGAGACACTGCGCTCTCAGCTGTCGAGACAGGAGAATGGCTAACGTCAATAGACCTAAAAGACGCCTATCTCCACGTACCCATACCTTGAGTTCAAGAAATACCTGAGGTTTTCTTTCGACGGGAGGTGTTATCAGTTCAGGGTTCTACCATTCGGGATCTCCACGGCCCCGAGGGTGTTCACCAAGCTGATGTTGATTCCTGCCCAAGTGGCCAGATCGAAAGGTCGGTTCTGCCATCCGTACCTCGACGACTGGTTACTAAGAGCTCTATCGCAATCCCTGAGTCAGATAGCTACACAGGAAGTGATAGACATTGGATACACATTGGGTGGATAGTAATCTCAAGAAGTCAGATCTGAGCCCTTCTCAGAATCTTATCTTCTTAGGGGCGATCTTCAACACAGTGAGCGGACTTGTATCTCTCTCACAAGACCGCATAGTCAAGGTCAGAAGTGTTACTTCCCAGTTCCTTCTGTCCACGAGGCACACTGCTCGTACATGGCTCCAGTTACTGGGCAACATGGCGGCGACAGTGGATGTGGTTTGGCGGGCGCGTTTGAGAATGAGACCCATTCAACCAGCGCTCCGTCGACTTTGGGTGAACTCTGAAGATCTCGAGACTGTTCTCGAGACTCCGCAGTGGTTCATTACACACCTTCAGTGGTGGACCGAGGTCGGGAATCTGTCCCGGGGGCTCCCCCTCGACACTCCCGTTCCGTCTCTCACAGTTCAAACAGACGGGTCACTCTCTGGCTGGGGAGGCGTTCTGAACGATCACACTGCCTTGGGACTATGGTCCCAGCAGGAGATCAAAGTGCATATCAATGTGCTAGAACTGAGAGTGGTCAGGTTGGTGTTCCAACGCTGGATCTGCTTTGTGGCCAAGTGGTTAGTCTAGAGATGGACAACCAAACGGCGATGACTTACATCCGGAAGCAGGGAGGAACGGTGTCTCCGCCGCTTCTCCAAGAGACGTGGCAGTTCCTACTATGGTGCGACTCTCACGATATCAGGGTGCTACCTGTTTATCTCCCAGGGGTGGACAACGTCCATGCGGACGCTCTGTCTCGCCGGATCCTTGCTCCTCACGAGTGGAGGCTCAACCCGGGGATATTCGGGATTATCTCCCTGTTATACGGGTCGTTCCAGGTGGATCTGTTTGCGTCTGGAGTGAATCACCAGACACCAACGTTCTGCTCCCGAGTCCCCGACCCGAGGTAGGTGGCACCGGACACCTTCCAGCTAGATGGGACGGACAGAGTTCTGTGGGCATTCCCCCCAGGACCTCTGATTTCCAAGGTCCTGTCTCATCTACCCACTCAGCCTGCGCGACTACTTGTGCTCCTGGCACCTCTTTGGTCGGCGCAGAGTTGGTTTCCAGTAGTACTCAGGTTTCTGGCTCAGCCTCCTGTTCTATTACCTTTACGACCGGACCTCCTATCAGTGGGCGGCTTGGCCACTGTCAGGAATCTGCACGAGTTGCAGACACAATACTGGCTTCGCGGAGGGATTCGACAAACGTTCAGTATGAGGATAGATGGGCCTGCTATGCGCGCTAGTGTGTTGATAGAGGGATTGCAGAGAGTTGTGAGAGTTGCCGTGGAGGGTGAGGCCCTGTAAGGGTGGTCGTATATCATACTAAAACAAAGTTTTTTGTGTGGTAACATTTTTTATTAAGGAAAATGGTTACAACTATGTCATGTAGATTTTCTTGAGCAAGGAAAATGCAATAAGTGCCCCAAGGAGGATTTCATCAGAGAATTCATAACCTCTACAGGTTTGTAAAAGTTTTTCCAAGCACACTCTGAGGTTATGGAATCAGTCATCACCTCTTCTATGACTGATCTTCTAGATCATCGTTTGTGTTCTATGGAACAACGCATCTCAGCTTGGGTCGGGAAAGACCTGCCTTTCCTCCTTCTGTGGATATGAATGAGAAACCAGCATGTAATACTTACAAAGTGATAACTGATGAACATGACATTCCTTCTAAGCGTGCGTCTGACAACAGAGCACATATCACAAGTTACACAGTGTAATGGGAGTAGAGACAGTGAGTTACCCAGGGCCTTGCGTCAGGATGATTCAAGATTCACTGCTAGTTCTCATGCAACTGAGATTACCAGGAGATGACAGCCTACTGCTACTTTTTCATGTGACAGTCTGTATTTAGCATTCAGCTCAAAAGGACTCTCACTCCTTGGAGGATTACAGTAATATGGTGCCACACCAGCCAGCCTGGACTCAAGCCATCTTGCAGGGACTGGACACACCCACGTGATCATGGCTTACTTCTCTCTCACACCTTGTGGAAGGTTACTTTGGGTTACAATTCAGTCGATTTTTCTTCTGCACAGGTTGGGGTGCTCACATCGATGGAGCAACAGTCCAAGGAGGATGGTCGGAGGCAGACAGGACACTCCACATCAGCTGTCTCAAGATGAAGGCCATGTCTCAAACGTTTAAAGCATGGAGCTACACGGACAACACCTATGTACAGAGGCAGGGTGGAACGAATAGGCAGGGTGGAAGAATTTACTGAAGGAAAATACACTTCATTCTGATTGGCAGACAGATACCAATTGGAAGCTTGCCACATACTGGGGGAATTCAATATTTCAGTTGCTTGGTTTTCCCAGAGGAATAAGATAATTCCAACAGAATAGTCACTTCATCCCAAAGTGTTCCAGTGGTTAACAGCGACTTTGGACATTCCTCATCTTGATCTCTGCAACCTTTCTGAACAACAAACTTTCTGTACATGTCTGCCAAGTTCCAGATCCACTAGCTCTACATTGACACCCTACCTCTGAAACTTTTGAAGCATCACCATCTTCTGTGTAACCCAATCCAATATATTGCTTGGCAGCCTCCTCTGTTTCCACCTACATGCTTGGAAACTATCTTATCAAAGATGCAGGCATCAGGTTTTTGCAAATCATCTTCTGAAGCAGCGGTATGCTCTTGGAGATCTTTATCATATGCATCAGTCAAAGGCAGAGAGCAGGAGGCTTGGGAGATGTGAATTTAAGCATTGCTTTGGTAGGATCCCAGAGACTGCAGCTGTACAAGGTAAGGTAGCCTCTTTGATCAAATTGTCAGCCAGGGTGGGATAAATTATAGGTTAACAGCTGGACTCACATTATGTGGTCAAAGCTGAAGATGTCATCAGAGAACTGTAAGTGATGTTAGAAACAGGAGTGAAGTCATCAGAAACCGGAAATGTATTGCCAAGGAAACGGAAGTGATGACAAAGTAATTGGAAGTGACAGCGTTCAAGTGTAAATGCGTCATCATAACAGGAAGTGACGTCATAACTTGACGTGTCCTCAGGATTACAGGAAGTTTTTGGATGCCAGATCCCACCATTCCCTCTGGTGAATTCTGGCTATGATGTAATAGAGGTTATGTATTTGAAGGAATTATCAAACACTAGTTGATAATCTGAAGAATACTACCTCTGTTACATCAATAGTAGTCCCTTTCACCTCCCCAATATATTGGCTATATAGGATGTTGGTTATCAGAAAGAAGTGATGTTTTCCTACCTTGTGCATGTGCAGATGCCTTAGTTTGGGGGATACTATCTTCCTGTTGACTTTTTGGATAGCTGGCAGTGAAGAGACAGCCAAAACACAGGATTTAAGGCTATGATGTTATTGAGGTAGTATTCTTAGAATTGCACAGTGATAGCTATTGTTTAATGTTTGGTCTGCTTATCATGTTTATCAGATGTTTGCTATTAATAGATATCTTTAGCTGAATTTGTAGACACATTTCTCAGAATAATATAGTATCTGATTAAAATTAGGTAGGTTGACAACTTTTGATTTTGGTTCGTCAATCTGTAGACTAAAAGATAAAGATGGTGTATACACGGATGGTAATTGTCCACATTCCCTGTCCCAGGATGGTGAGACCTACTGTATCGATGCCCGGAAGTATGGAAACATCAGTCGCTTCATCAACCATCTGTGTGAGCCCAATGTAGTGCCAGTGAAGGTGTTTGTCGACCATCAAGACCTCCGCTTCCCACGCATCTGCTTCTTTTCATCCCGGGAGATCAAGGCTCATGAGGAACTCGGGTGAGTCCGTGGGGACACACTGGCTGTTACAGATGTTGTTAAATCATTTGTACTGGAGAGGGGTTTAGTATCTAGTCTGTTGGAGAGAGGGAAGTAGTGTCAAGTCTTGTTGGAGAGGGGTTTAGTATCAAGTCTGTTGGGTACAGGGGTGTAGTATCAAGTCTGTTGGAGAGGGGTGTGTAGTTTCAAGTCTGTTGGAGAGAGGGTGTAGTTTCATGTCTGTTGGTGGGGGGTGTAGTATCAAGTTTGTTGGAGAGAGGGGTGTAGTATCAAGTCTGCAGGAGAAAGGTGTGTAGTATCCAGTCTGCTGGAGAGAGGGGTGTAGTATCAAGTCTGCAGGAGAGTGGTGTGTAGTTTCAAGTCTGTTGAAGAAAGGGGTGTAGTATCCAGTCTGCTGGAGAGGGGGATGTAGTATTAAGTCTGCTGGAGAAAGGGGTGAAGTAGCAAGTCTGCTGGATAGAGGGGTATAGTAGCAAGTCTGCTGGAGAGAGGGCTGTAGTTTCAAGTCTGTTGAAGAAAGGGGTGTAGTATCAACTCTGCTCGAGAGAGGGGTGTAGTATCAAGTCTGCTGGATAGAGGATTGTAGTATCCAGTCTGCTGGAGAGAGGGGTGTAGTGTCAAGTCTGCTGGAGAAAGGGGTGTAGTAGCAAGTCTGCTGGATAGAGGATTGTAGTATCCAGTCTGCTGGAGAGAGGGGTGTAGTGTCAAGTCTGCTGGAGAGGGGTGTAGTAGCAAGTCTGATTGAGAGAGGGGTGTAGTTTCATGTCCGTTGGAGAGAGGGGTGTAGTTTCATGTCTGTTGGAGAGTGGGGTATTGTATCAAGTCTGCTGGAGAGAGTAGTGTAGTATTAAGTCTGCTGGAGAGAGGAGAGTAGTTTCATGACTGTTGGAGAGAGGGGTGTAGTATTGAGTCTGCTCGAGAGAGGGGTGTAGTTTCATGTCTGTTGGAGAGAGGGGTGTAGTATCAAGTCTTGTAGGAGAGAGAGTTGTAGTGTCAAGTCTTGTAGGAGAGAGGGGTGTAGTGTCAAGTCTGCTGGAGAGTGGGACGTAGTATTAAGTCTGAGAAAAGGGTGTAGTTTCATGTTTGTTGAGGAGAGGGGTGTAGTATCAAGTCTGCTGGAGAGAGGGGTGTAGTTTCATATCTGTTGGACATAGGGGTGTAGTTTCATGTCTGCTGGATAGAGGATTGTAGTATCAAGTCTGTTGGAGAGAGGGGTGTAGTATCAAGTCTGCTGCAGAGTGGGGTGTAGTATTAAGTCTGAGAGAGGGGTGTAGTTTCATGTCTGTTGGAGAGAGGGGTGTATTTTCATGTCTGTTGGAGAGAGGGGTGTAGTTTCATGTCTGCTGGATAGAGGATTGTAGTATCAAGTCTGTTGGAGAGAGGGGTGTAGTTTCATGTCTGTTGGATAGAGGGGTGTAGTGTCAAGTCTGCTCGAGAGAGGGGTGTAGTATAAAGTCTTGTTGGAGAGAGGGGTGTAGTGTCAAGTCTGTTGGAGAGTGGGGTGTAGTATTAAGTCTGAGAGAGGGGTGTAGTTTCATATCTGTTGGAGAGAGGGGTGTAGTTTCATGTCTGTTGGAGAGAGGGGTATAGTATCAAGTCTGTTGGAGAGAGGGGTGTAGTTTCATGTCTGTTGGAGAGAAGGGTGTAGTTTTATGTCTGTTGGAGAGAGGGGTGTAGTTTCATGTCTGCTGGATAGAGGATTGTAGTATCAAGTCTGTTGGAGAGAGGGGTGTAGTTTCATATCTGTTGGACATAGGGGTGTAGTTTCATGTCTGCTGGATAGAGGATTGTAGTATCAAGTCTGTTGGAGAGAGGGGTGTAGTATCAAGTCTGCTGCAGAGTGGGGTGTAGTATTAAGTCTGAGAGAGGGGTGTAGTTTCATGTCTGTTGGAGAGAGGGGTGTATTTTCATGTCTGTTGGAGAGAGGGGTGTAGTTTCATGTCTGCTGGATAGAGGATTGTAGTATCAAGTCTGTTGGAGAGTGGGGTGTAGTATTAAGTCTGAGAGAGGGGTGTAGTTTCATATCTGTTGGAGAGAGGGGTGTAGTTTCATGTCTGTTGGAGAGAGGGGTATAGTATCAAGTCTGTTGGAGAGAGGGGTGTAGTTTCATGTCTGTTGGAGAGAAGGGTGTAGTTTTATGTCTGTTGGAGAGAGGGGTGTAGTTTCATGTCTGTTGGAGAGAGGGGTGTAGTTTCATGTCTGTTGGAGAGAGGGGTGTAGTTTCATATCTGTTGGAGAGAGGGGTGTAGTAGCAAGTCTGCTGGAAAGAGGATTGTAGTATCAAGTCTGTTGGAGAGAGGGGTGTAGTATTAAGTCTTGTAGGAGAGAAGGGTGTAGTGTCAAGTCTGTTGGAGAGTGGGGTGTAGTATTAAGTCTGAGAGAGGGGTGTAGTTTCATGTCTGTTGGAGAGAGGGGTGTAGTTTCATGTCTGTTGGAGAGAGGGGTGTAGTGTCGAGTCTGCTGGAGAGTGGGGTGTTGTAGCAAGTCTGCTGGAGAGTAGGGTGTAGTAGCAAGTCTGCTGGAGAGTAGGGTGTAGTAGCAAGTCTGCTGGAGAGAAGGGTGTAGTTTCATGTCTGTCGGAGGGAGGGGTGTAGAAGCAAGTCTGCTGGAGAGTTGGGTGTAGTATCAAGTCTGCTGGAGAGTGGGGTGCTGTAGCAAGTCTGCTGGAGAGTGGGGTGCTGTAGCAAGTCCGCTGGAGAGTGGGGTGTAGTATCAAGTCTGTTCATGAGGGGTGTAGTATCAAGTCTGCTGGAGAGGGGTGTAGAAGCAAGTCTGCTGGAGAGAGGGGTGTAGTATCAAGTCTGTTGGAGAGAGGAGTGTAGTATCAAACTGTTGATATTCTTTCTTTTGGCAGGTGAATCACAACCTTAATTTGGGGGGGGGGGGGGGGGGGGGATTTCAGAAATCGATGATGGTGTATATATGGGCAGAAACATATGGGCTGTAGGGCACTGTGAATGTTATGTTATTTATAGCCAAATGGAATAATATACCAGCAAAAGTAATTGTTCTTCATATAAAGTGGTAAAATTGTTATGACATTATATTTAGTCATTCGTCGGATCAATGTTTTGTCATAAATTCAATGACAAACCCCGTACTTGGTGAAAGGACACAGAGTGACGCCTTAAGAGAGTGGTGGTGTAACAACTCAATTTACAATGTCAATATCGGGTGTGTCCACCATTTGTGTTGATATTAGCGAGGCAGCGGCAGTGCATTGGAAACTCTAAATGATTGAAAAACGCCTGTGTGATGGTATTCCAAATGTCAACCAATGATTGGCCCAACTGAGCTTGCATTACTGGCTGGTTCTGGTCCTGTCGTAGAGGTTGTTCAATCTCATCCCAGACATGTTCTATGGTGAAGAGGTCTGGAGAAACAGCAGGCCATGGCAGCACAGCTTGTAAACATTGATTTTCAGCAAGCACTCGCATTGCATAAGCCTTTGTTTATGGTTAAACGAAAGTGTTTGTGAACATATGATAGCCAAACAATGATAGTGTGCTCTTCACAAATGTGTGAGTATCATGCTGCCAACAAACACGCAAACATCCAAATGGTGGGCTATGCATTAATTGCAAATTGTGAATTATTTTCTTAAAATCTAGATGTCTTCATAAATAGTATTGAAAGATGCATTATTTAATTTCAGAATAAATCTATTTTTATTTGACCTAATATATGAAGCACAGTTACTTTTTTCTGTTTGTATACTTGAGAATCTGCGTTTAACATTGTAAACCTGTTATTATTCACGGTTTTTCAGCAATATGATATGTCTTGTAATGTGTCATATGTGTCACAATACAGGGTTGTAAATTGATGTTTATTGCTTGTTGCTTCTCTGTCAGTGTGTGTGGGGGGGCTTTGTGTTGTCTGCTGCTCCCCATCTACCCAGAAATGGGTCTGCTCCAGGACATACTGCTCTGCCAAAGTCCCTGATCCTTTCCCCAAGCCTGAAGTTCTTTTTTAGCAAGTAGACTTTATGGTCTAATGCTGAGGACTCCTTCAACCTATGAGGATGTCAGAATCAGGGATTCTACAAAAACAAAATTGACACTGTGATAACATGCATTAACTTTAGAAAATTAGAACAGTGAGTTTTGCAAGAGTGAGAAAGTATAACTTGCAGGTATTGTTATGTACACATGTCCTCAGTCATATAATACTAATTATGTTTATGTTAGTTATTACAACAAGCCTGTCAGAGATGGGACTGGCTAAGAATTTCTGCCGAGTCTTCATCCTTTTGGGGAATACCATGTGTAGATCAGACACTATTTGCTGCTTGGAACCTTTGTCACAACAGTGAAATTACTGTCATAGGCGTCAACACCACTCACTAGCCTGCTTCCATGTTAAATTATTTGCATTTAAGGGGAATGAATGGCAAAAAGTAGTTTTACGCACAAGGTTGCCATTAAAACCAAACTTGACTTCCAAACAAAATGATTCAAACAACATTGGGAGGGGCTTCCTGTAGGGTAGTACAGCCACAGTTTCACCGTCTTCTGCACCTTTCGATACAGGAGAACATGGCAAAACAAGTTGAAGAAAACCCAAACTGTCCACAGACAGGAGGCCAGCATCTTTTCTTATTTAACTAGATTGTTAGTTACCCCTTGCCTGGTCAAAACCAAATGCTTGTGGTAAGAGGCGACTAACAGGATCGGGTGGTCAGGCTTGATGACTTGGTTGATGCATGTCATCGTATCCCAATTGTGTAGATGGATGCTGATGATGTCAATCACTGGATTGTCTGGTCCAGACTCTATTATTTACAGACTTCCGTCAAAAAGCTGGAATATTGCCAAGTTTGGCATTAAACAACAAACAAACGTTGTCCATTTGAAAGACCTTAGCACTTTTTACATGCTCTAAAGTATCTTCTCCTGTGATACTGTTTGACTGATGGGACTTAATATGCAGGTTCCTTATTATGAAGACATTCTTTTGTATTTTTAGAAAATGATGTTTCACAAAAAGTTGAAAACTCT